CTTGAAGTTCTGCTCCAAAATGCTTCAATGTAAGCATATGTATACAGTACATTTTGCCCCTGCCTTTGACTGACAAACCCCTCTGCTATTCAGTTCAGACCGAGACTTTTTTTCCCCAGATGGCATTCAAGCACCCTCTGCTTTGAAACATACAACAGAATGAGTGAATAAAGCCACTATTCAATCAAAGATGGCACAAAGTGTGCTTCAAGAAACCATTCGCATTATAGGGTATACATCTCCAGCTATTGACAATGTCATAGACGTTCGTTAGCGTTGGTAAGAAAATGAGTCATGTTTAATTAGTGCCTCTGCAGTTAACCTGTGTTTACAACATCAAGATCTGGTGTTTCTATCAAGAATAGAAACACCAGTTTTCTCTCAGTATTTTACATTTTAATAATTCATACCTACAGTCATTATACAGGTACACTGTATATTTTGCCCAATGTTATCCTCTTCACTGCTTTGTATTCCCACACATAACAACTACAATCAGACCCTATTCCATAGCATCATAATAGACTGTTATAGCTTAGTTAATTAAAGTCTATTGCACTTGGCAAGGAAAGCATAACAAGTAATTATATTACAAGTCAGAGGCAATGTGAGGCTAACAATAGCAATGACACTCCATGGTCTTTCATGTTGTATTTTCGATGAGGGATAGGAGTCTGTGGTGAATTTAATTGTCTTTCCTTTCATGTGACTGACTGAATATAGGCAGACAAATCATGTGTGTGTGTGTGTGTGTGTGTGTGTATGTGTGTCAGTGACAGAGAGAGAGGGATTGTGCTTCCTTTAAGACTGTCTGTGTTAGTTATAGAAAAGGAGCTCTCCATCTCTCACATATACAGTCATTTAATATGTTGTGGTTAGGCATTTTGCAAGTCACATAGCTGCCTGTATAAACACTGTACTGTATAAACAAATCATATATGTATGTGGTTGCCAAACATCATCATACACTTCATCTATCAATGCATTTAATAAAAAAACAATCATCATTTTTAATCATGTCACTATTGAGCCAAATTGGCACGCACTTAGTCGACAGTTGCGGCTTTCAAAGGCCTTCAATGTTTGTCCTCTTGTTGTTGGAAGTTTTGCCTCTCTCACTATTTCTTCGGTGATGAACTGCAGTGATTCAGAGTTTCTGTGCCAGAATATGCGGTGAGATTCCCCCAGATATTTACCACCAATGAGAGAAATGCCTACCATGTCTGATGCTGCTCTTCAAATACAGCCACACTGACCTGCTGCTCGCTCCGGGTTAAGACGCACACAGTTGTGGAATTCTTGGACCTCACGTTAGTCAAAACCCATAAACTGATCGACCACCTCTCACACAGGAGGACTGTGGGCAACAGTGAACAGAGAAAATGCAGCTGGTATTCATTCACATTCACTATGATGCACTTTCCAATCAAAGGGATTCCTCTTCGTAAACACATGAACTTGGGTGGGAAAATGAACAGGTAAATAGTTTACACACATGGCAGAATAGGAGCTCACTCATGACAATATATAGCACTATATAGCACCTCAAAAGGTACTAATGCACAAGGGGTTAGGGTGAAACAAACAATAGCGTCTCCCCTTTCTGTCACTCTATCAATCCATTTCAAGCTGCAGCTTGATCTTTCTAAGGTTATTGCTCTGTAATCTCAGATCACAGTCGTTTCCAGAGGTTAAATTCCAGCAGGGACCTGGGAGACCAGTGTAGGGTTAATATATAGAGCAGGAGAGGAGACAGAGTTGCTTTCCATAATGACTTAAACTAACAGCAGGCCGGGACTTTGGGAGGAAGGCTCTAAGAAGGGTGTGACGGGAGGTTTAGACATCAAATCCCAGGCTTATCTCTACACTGGTCAGGTTTTTAACTGACGACTTTGAAGTCCAGTTTCTCTCCCTGAGGATCAATATCACTGATGGTGTCTTTATTTATTATTCAGCGTAATTATATTAACAATGACATCAAGATAGAACAACATAACTGTTTTGGATTTATAGAATGTGTGTTTTATTTATTTTCTTTATGATTTATAGTGATAGTAACAATATTGATAAGATATTGGAGGAAATCAATATTTTCACGTCAAAAGTGATCATATTCAACAGTTCCAAAGAGATAAATTGTTTGCTGTACATTAAGTCCCTAAAATACTATTATTTAGTAACATGTTAACAAAGCCATTGGTTGGCATGTTTATTTGACCTCTGTTTATCCAGATACAGCACACAGTTTAGTAATAACAGATTTACAGTGGGGACAATGAAAACAGAAATGGATGTGATAAAGGTATTTTTTACACTATACTGCCATCATATGGACACATTCAGACCTACACTTAAATGAAGGAGATTCATCATTCAAGACAAACACCAACCACATCATCATTTTCCACACACAGCAGAATAAGATCTTGTTGGATGAAAGATGATTTTGTTTTTACTAATACAAAAAATAAGTAGCAGTTTATGAAATTAATGTTTTGTATTTAGCTGCAAATGTAGATTTGTGAATGATCCCATTCAATAAAAGCTTAATCATTGACAGTACAGGACACCTCTGAATATTGTCCTACCAGAGGCTCCAGCAGGCAGTTGTGTGCAATGCACTCATTACAGACACACACTCATTAAGACACAACACAAAGACAAGATGTCAGAAGCCCATAGCGGGCTCCACTCTAACCTCTGATTGAGCTCCTACGTTACAGTGTTGCTAAAGGTGTCCACTCACTGTTCTTCCCAACACTGACATCTCGAGTGGCTAGGACATATTAATGGTACCTGTACAGTTGATATTGTGATAAAAAGGCAGCTTCTAGGCAGTAGAGAGCTTTCTATATGGCCATTGTTGATCATGTATTGCTGATAGCATTGTCTCCAACCCTCACTTTACTCAACTTGTGTGTTTGGGAAGGTATGAGTAAAAAAATAACCACTTTCCTGCATTGAAGGCTTAAGTGAATATACAGGTGAACTGGACAAGGATGGAGATTATGTTTAAAATATGTCCTAGTCAGACCCCTTTTTAAATGAATATCCTGTAGAAATGTACTTGCTTTAGTTTTACCATGATAAAATACGAAATGTCTTGATAAAGTCAGCTAAACAGAAATGTAATTTCACAGTATGACTATAAAAATTGTGAAAACCCTTAGAGGTATAAAGTAAATTATATATTTTTGCATATTAAATTATATCTGAGGTGTCTATGGGGAGTTTTTAGTGGGCCTGAGAGTACTGTGATGTTAGAGCAGTGTTATGACTTGATCCTCTGATCTTTGGCCCGCCTGGGCTACATATGGAGACTCACCGCCTAATGCAAAGTTCTGGTTAAACATTGTCCCAACGTTTGCGTTCAGCCTTCTGTTGTTTTTACACTAAAGGTCCTGCAATTGTTGGAGGCATTATTGACTTTGTAATTAAACTATTTTAACGTCAGGATTTGGTAATCATTAGATTTCAAGCCATCTGTTCCCGTCCATGGGCTGAAATGGATTTTCCCCTTGAGTAGATAAAGTATAACACTGATGGGGAATATCATTCATTTTGCTTTGTTTATTCATGTTGTGGAGACAAATGCTGAATCCTCTACCTTAATCCATAGCCTGTACATGTACGTATCAACTTAATAAATTTAAATAGTGTATCGCTTCGAAATGATATCATTTCGGCACACAAATGCCCTGGTCAATCTAATGTTACTGATTATGGTTTTATTGGCTTCCATCTGCTCAAAGGCTAACAAAGCTCAATTTAGACAACTCCCCGGAAGAATAAAACAATCTTTGTTTCTCTAAAGGGTCACAATGTATAAACAGCTTGATCCTGCTGTGGGTCAAACATCTCTATTGGTTCTAGCTTCTGGTAAACACCTTTATCTGACCATATCTCCCTCCATTGTACAATGAAGAAATCAAATAATAACAGACAAAGCTCAACTTTGATCCACTGCTTCTTCAATTGTCATTACAGACTGTAATCTTTCTTTCCTCACCTGGTGTAGGTCCAGTTTACCCATTAAAGGGACGTGTATTCAGAGTTTTGACACTGGGGCTTTGAATTGAGAGATGAGAGAGTGTTCTTTTGGATGTATTGACAACCAGACAAACGTCTGAAGAAGAAAGGAAAAGCCGACCCTAACAAAGGGCGCGAGAGGAGAGAGACGAGAGAGAGAGAGAGCGCGAGAGGGGAGAGAGAGAAGAGAGAGAGAGGAGAGAGCGAGATAGCGATAAGTATATCGCGAGAGAGAGAATCTAGATCAGCTAATCGCGCTCTTCTCGAGAGAGAGAGCGAGATCTCTCTCTCTCTCTCTCTCTCTCTCTCTCTATCTCTCTCTCCTCTCTCTCTCTCTCTCTCTCATGAATTAAGCCTTACAGTATTATTTAATAAATGATAATCTGTATTGCAAACAACAGTAATTTCTAAGATCCTACCTCTCATTCGGCCATATACAGGTAAGTGGAAGTTCATTTTCTCCTAATTTTACATTTATCAAAACCTAAGATACAAAATCTATTTTGTTTACGGTTTAGTTTCAACAGTTTCTGGCCTAACTCAGATAGTGGCGTGTATATACATTCCCAGCATTCATTTTACATTGTAATAGGCTATAAAGGCAACTAAAATAAATAACATGGTATTTTGAAACTTGTCATAATCAATCAAACCTGTCTTGCATGAGACTATATATTTGACATTTCAAATGTTTACATTACTGGCATTATTCTACAGGTATTTATTTACATGTTAACTCAGAAAATACTACAAAGTCGCCTCTGACCACATTAAGATTAACAGATTAAAATTATATTAAAATGGTTCAGCTGAGGGCTTCATAAATTGACACAAGATATATAGACTACATAAGAGAGATACTTTAAGCATATTTTTGTCTGTGATCTGAGTCATTTCTTACAGTGACGGAGTGGTGTGGGAGGGAACGGAGGACCTTGAGGAGTGTTGGTGGTTGGAGGTTCAGTCACGGCTCACGGTCCTCCTCCACTAGACCCCATGAACACAGTGTTGATGGGGGGCAGCGATGACACCATGTCACGTACCTCAGATGGTGCCCGGTGAGGAAGCAGTGCATCCTGGGAGTGGAACTGGGCAGGACCTCCATACATGCAGGGTGCAGAGACCGAGGAGGGGAGGGGAAGAGCTAGAGAGAAAAACAAGAATATCTTGAATAGAAAACACTAAACATTTTCTGTAATTTACTAGAATAATTATATATAGCACTCATTGTTTCACCCAGGCCATTGCTACACATTGGTAGTGGAACATTGGCGTTCCCTATTACAATGGAAAGTGCGTTGAGCACTTTGACTAAATATAAATTCAATCCATAATTTGTCACTGACCTCCAGGTGTGCCCAGTGAGTCAGACTCAGGGTAGTAAGGCCCTGCCGTCTTCCTGCCCGTGTCATCCAGGATGTTGAGGGGGTCGTGTACATCAGCGTATGTTGGGACGGAGCGGATACTGCTCACACTGCTGATAACTGAAACATGCTGGTCTATCATGGAACCCAGCCTCTGGCTATCCAGGTAGCCACTGTTTCCATAGTACCCTGAAAAACAGAGAGGTTCCTCTATGAGTAGAATACACATTTATGGTACAACTGATTGTTGGGGCCCTGAGTTATTTCTTACCAGGTGACGTGACAACGTGATCTAACCAGGAATAAATGGACTACTCAGCGCCTATTTCATGATAATTCATCCTTACCACTGTGTCCTGCTGTTGAGTAGGCAGACTCCTGACAGCCACTACTGTTTAACCCACTCCCGACAAAGTTGTATCCTCCAGAGTCCAGTGGCTGAACCCCCCGAGTCTCCATCCCAGGATCAGGGGCTGTGCTGTAATTGGAGGTGGGTCTGGAGCTGTAGGGGGACACTGCACAGCTGCTGTTGAAGTAGTCTTTAGCCAGGTGCTGCTCACTGAAGGACAGGTAGTGGCTGCTGTCAGAGCGGGTGTGGTAGGCTGGGGCCTGGGCGTGTGTCTGGGGCCTGAACACAGCCTGGTAGTTGGAAGTGGTGGGGTAGTAGCTGGGGCTACTGGAAGGCAGGCTCTGGTACATGGTGTCTGGGAAGGCTTGGCAGGAGATGTGGGGCTGGATGGTGGTGCAGGTGCTCTGTGGTATGATGGCCATGGGGCCCTGGTTGATAACACTGCCCCTGTTCACCATGGCTGGGGAGATGGGAGGGGTCATCAGAGGGCCACTGTTCTGGGAAAAGTCCATTTGTCCTTGGAGTACAGAGGAAAGTCACCAAGATTTTAGACAATACAATAGGAACATTTATTATGAAATTAGCAATTGTCACACAAACGTATTTATGTTAAACCAATGACAGTATCAATAAAGCTCACATACAATCAGGCAAATTCAATTCAGGAACTGAGTGAGAAAATTACATGTCACCCAAAAAAATGTATTTGCACCTGACAGAGAGAATCCATCTGTTTCAGAGCGCTGGTAGACAGTCATGTTTGCTCCCAGTGCCTGCTGATTGGCTGACAGGGTCATGTATGTGTGTTCTGAGAGGGACTCGTTCTTCACAGACAGATCACTGGACACCGCGCTGGGCTTGTTACGGTTGGCCAGGAAACAGGAGCTAGGGGAGGCAGTGAATGCCGCCTTGCTGGCATCTGAAAAGAATCATAACAATGTACATCAATGATCCTACACCCTCTATAATTGCTCCATACTGCATCATAAAAACTGATAGTATTAATATTAATTTCAATAACAACTTAATGAAAAAGAACAATCAGAGTTCTACATAATATAATAGATTCTCTATGTATGACATGTAATTGTATATTTTCGATCAAAAGTAAAAACAGTCACGCTTGCTTGTACCTGCATTTCTCATGTATTTATCTAGGAGATTCTGGAGGTCTTGTTCTTTGTCGTTGTTGAATTGTGTCTCAATAGCCAGTAGGATATACTCATCCAGCAGCATGCGGATTAGGTGGAACGAACCTGGGATGAAAAAAAAACCACATCTTAGTTTACCACTATCATAACAACCTCTTACTGTCCAAGTTTTTTCCTCCAGAAATCAAACCTATTATCTTATCACATTTTTCTGAAGGTCAGATATGCACTATCATGACAGAATATTCAGATATACTAACAGCCTTCACCTTACAAACTGTGACACCGCTCCAAAGGCTTTTCTGGGCACCAATCACCAGGTGCGGAGGGTTTGACTCAACCAGCCACAGAGGTCTGCCCTCACCTGGGCTTTCATCTCACCAGGCCTGCTGTTTGACCTGTAGGGTCATGTGATTGTCCCCCAGTCTGTTTGACTTTTGTTTGGTGATAGAGCCGTCAAATGGCCAGGGGTTGAGGAAGGTGCATGGGAGAAGTCTATCTCCAAACACAGTGCACGCGAGCGAGAGATAACGCTTTGTTTACCTGGGGCCAGGCCATTATAATTTATGGCTCATTGCAGCATTCTGCTCAGAGCTGGCCGACCACCAAAATGATAAGTGTGTTTGTGTCTGACGTAGTGCCCGACCGTGTATCATTTAGACTCAGGCAGTAGTAATGAATTTAACTAAAAGCTGAAATGACATATAAATAGGCTAGTGTAGAGCATTTCCTGTATGTTCTAGTTGTTCCCTGGATATACACACTATCAGGGGGAACTGTTATAGAGGGATGTAGTCATTTCTTACCAAAACTGGTGGCGTTGTTCAACGTGAGGTTGTGCATAACGCGTGCTCCAAAGAAACTCCACTTGAGGAGGAAGTCCTGAGCTCTCTTCTTTATGGACCGTCCGTTCTGCTTCCCGGGCTGGAGAGAGAAAGAAACAGATTAGATGTCAACATCCAATCTGACAACCCCAATCTTCGATTGGAAATGGGGACAACGTACCTTAATGACCTTCTGCTCCACAACAGTGTCCAGCCACTCAATAAAGGATTCCACAGTGGCATTCTTCTTCAGAAGGTCTTTCAGCTCTTGGAACACTGTTATAGAGTCATCTAGCAACATGAGGAGAAAGAAAATTAACATTGTTTACAGGAATTAACCTGGCAGTGTTTTCTATGTACAATGCAAATGTTCTATGGGGGAAAATGTTTCAAGTCTCTTACATTCAGAGTAGAGGTCAGAGTCTTGGTCACCACTTGAGATGGTGAAAAGGGCTTGTGACCCTATGCTGTTCAAATCCACTTGATCTATATCCACCACCATGGAGTTCACCACATTCTGGTCAAAAAGAGCTGGTCTCGCAATCTGACCAAAATAACCCAAATTAGGACTTTCAGTTTACATTTTACAATTTCTTAGAGTCATAATAAAATGAATGATATATAGATATACTTCAGATAATTTAAAATATGTTTTTGTAAAGTTCAATATGAACACAATATGTATATTCCTCCTGTGCTGTTATCAGTGCTTTACCTGGGCAAGGTGTAAGAAGGAGGTCTGACGCTTTAGAGAGGACACAAATCTGCGTACGATCGGGAGCTTCTTCTCTGAGAGGCATTCTGGGAGGTTTTCCAGAGAAGACACCATCCAGTCTTCCAAGTGCTTGGCAAAGTTACGGATGTCTGCCAGGAGACTGCAAACAAGATACTCTTTACACACAGTACGTGACCTGGACAGACTGCAGTATTTTATGACTATTCATTTCATACAGCATAAACCTTACAACAAATCTGGTGTTCAGATGAGCAAAACACAAATGTTGAAAGACGAAAATACTCTACCTTTCAGGCATCTCCTGCATCGTAGCAGGGATCAGGACATCTGTCAGAACCTGAAAAATGGATAGCACAACCTGTCCAGTTGAGGTAGGAGTCCTACAACAACTAATGAGGATACTGCTCTATGATTCTGGAGAAACACCCACCTTATAGAGTATAGAGTCACACACACAGAAGATGTCCACAATAACGGAGTTCTCCAGCAGTGGTAAGAGGTGGTCGGGCATTCCTTGCCAGAAATGCAGCAGGAAATTCTGTATCTGAAACATAGTAAATATAAATAGAGAGTCAGGAGAAAATTCGTCAGAAAAGGCTACAAAAGCTTTTGTCTGGATTTTGTACAGAATACCTCTTCAAAGTTGACATTGATGGCATTGTCCAGGATGCACTGACAATGTGTTTTGTACATCATGATGAGCGTGTCCACCTATGGGATGTAACATTTTACATTTACATTTCAGTCGTTTAGCAAATGCTCTTATTCAGAGCGACTCACAGAAGCGAGTGCATACATTTTCATACTAACATAATGTGAAGATAATTCACAATGGTTACAGTCTTTTTGGTATTGAATACTATATGTGATCAGCAATCTTAATGGCACAGAAAGTATTGGTGAAAGTAATACAAACCTTCTCTATAGAGACAGAGCCTTGAAGCACTAGATGCTGCACACTTGGGAATTCTGGAAGCAATGTTCCTGTTTTGGAACTGAGGGAGTATTTCCGAGTATACCCTCCCTGTTAAATAGAGGAACATCAAACAGTATGAATGTTTGAAGTTGTAGTCTTAGTTACAGATAGAATGTATTAGAAAACATGATTCACGTCACTAAAATCTTACAAGAAGATATGAAAATACAAATAATCTGTTATTTGTCAGTTACAGTGGCTTGCGAAAGTATTCACCCCCTTTGGCATTTATCCTATTTTGTTGCCTTACTACCTGAAATTAAAATGGAATTTTGGGGAGTTTGTATCATTTGATTTACACAACATGCCTACCACTTTGAAGATGCAAAATATTTTTTATTGTGAAACAAACAAGAAATAAGACAAAAAAACAGAAAACTTGAGCGTGCATAACTATTCACCCCCCCAAAGTCAATACTTTGTAGAGCCACCTTTTGCAGCAATTACTGCTGCAAGTCTCTTGGGGTATGTCTCTATAAGCTTGGCACATCTAGCCACTGGGATTTTTGCCCATTCTTCAAGGCAAAACTGCTCGAGCTCCTTCAAGATGGATGGGTTCCGCTGGTGTACAGCAATTTTTAAGTCATATGGTGTCAGATTTAAGTCATTTTTAAGTCAGATGGTGTTCTCGGGGTGATGAGAGGTGTTGGGTTTGCGCCAGACATAGCGTTTTCCTTGATGTCCAAAAAGCTAAATTTTAGTCTCATCTGACCGGAGTACCTTCTTACATATGTTTGGGGAGTCTCCCACATGCCTTTTGGCGAACACCAAACGCGTTTGCTTATTTTTTTCTTTAAGTAATGGCTTTTTTTCTGGCCACTTTTCCGTAAAGCCCAGTTCTGTGGAGTGTACGGCTTAAAGTCGTCCTATTGACAGATACTCCAATCTCCGCTGTGGAGCTTTGCAGCTCCTTCAGGGTTATCTTTGGTTTCTTTGTTACCTCTCTGATTAATGCCCTCTTTGCCCGGTCCGTGAGTTTTGGTGGGCGGCACTCTCTTGGCAGGTTTGTTGTGGTGCCATATTCTTTCCATTTTTTAATAATGGATTTAATGGTGCTCCGTGGGATGTTGAACGTTTTTGATATTTTTTTATAACCCAACCCTGATCTGTACTTCTCCACAACTTTGTCCCTGACCTGTTTGGAGAACTCCTTGGTCTTCATGGTGCCTCTTGCTTGGTGGTGCCCCTTGCTTAGCGGTGTTGCAGACTCTGGGGCCTTTCAGAACAGGTGTATATATACTGAGATCATGTGACAGATCATGTGACACTTAGATTGCACACAGGTGGACTTTATTTAACTAATTATGTGACTTCTGAAGGTAATTGGTTGCACCAGATCTTATTTAGGGGCTTCATAGAAAGGGGGTTATTTTTTTCATTTCACTTCATCAATTTGGACTATTTTGTGTATGTCCATTACATTAAATCCAAATAAAAATCCATTTAAATTACAGGTTGTAATGCAACAAAATAAGAAAAACGCCAAGGGGATGAATACTTTTGCAAGGCACTGTATGTATATGCTAGAGACTGTTCATTCATAACAATCTTACCTCATTCTTGAGTTTGCTCCCTGAAAATCTATAATCAAATAATAAATCAGATTGAGATTCAATTCCATAATGTCATAGCAATTACAATTATATAGTTGAGTAAGTAGCCTAGGACCTGGCTGATCACTTTCTATAACAAACATTACAGATTGATGTGTATTACGACAATGCTCCAGAGCAAAACCTGTATATGAACTTACCTCGTCAAGCCTTTTCCTGAGTACACCGAGTGATAATAGGCACTGCTCTCTTTGATGCCAATGCCGTAATAATGATATCTGTCGAATATCAACAACATCAAACATGTTATATTGAGACATATCATATCACTACAACAACAATTATGTTTGAAAAGCAAATATATCTTACTTTGAATGACCTCGGGTCCCAAGTCTTCTTGTTGTTAGAAGTGGAAATTTCTGCCGAATTGTCTAATGTGCACAGAAAACAATACAAAAAAAACATCATTAACATTTTCCACCACCATATGTTGTATTTATCTATAACATCCAGCACAAACTCCACCACATCCTCAAGACTCATCTCACCTTGCCAAATGTAGCAGCACAGGCTGGATCCAGTTTTTCCTTCCTACAGAAGTCTAGGTAGTGAGCGTACAGGATGCAACGTGGCAGACAAACCCCTTCACAAACAATATAGTTTTCCTCCAGCCTAGGGAACAAGCAGTCACACAAATCAAAATGTATAATCAATCATCAACAAGAAAATAAACATTCACATTTGTAAGAAGGATTTTTGTTATACAAGTGTATTACAACACAATACATATTACAGAGTTCTAAAAGGTTGTGACTTTGGAACACTACCATTGAAGGGTCATCTGAGTCTGTTTCTTCTTGTCCTTAATGATCTGAGTAATGCTTTTCCTCGGGGTAGTCTGTTTGAAAGCCAAATCTTTGGAATACTCCACAAAGTCCTGGTCCTCCTCAGAAGACAGGGTTTCATTAGTGTCCTCTGCCTCTGAGAGGGTTGTGGGGGAGAAAACAGTCAAATATATTTCAGTAGTGCAGGGCCATGACAAGGTAGGTGGCTAAATGAACCATACGATTAGAAATAAGTATTCCCTAGACAGGATTTCCAAGACTCATAAAAATGAACAGAACAGAGAAAAATGGGTCCCATGTGGCTCAGTTTGTAGAGCATAGTGCCTGCAACACCAGGGTTGTGGGACCGGTACATGGTAAGAAAAATGGTACATGGTAAGAAAAATGTATGCACTCACTACTGTCTAAGTCGCTCTGGCTAAGAGCGTCTGCTATGACAAAAATGCAAAAGGTTATTTTTGGTCAGATTGATAGGAATGTTTAGGCTACATATGGTAAGAGAGAGGGAGAAAACATGCGATTTGGAATATATTATTTTCTTCTAGCCTACCCAACAAACAATAAAAAAAAAAGTATACTTTGGTGCAGGCATATTTAAACTAATGCTTGACATCAACAAGTGCTACATTTTTTATGGCGGTTATAATTTGATTACTCTTTGGGGAAATGGGCCTCTCAGCAATCAATTATGCGTAGGCCTATTAATCTGACTTTATTCATCACCTGATTTAATTCCCGAATCATCTTCCTCGTCAAACTTTGAGAGTGAATGTCCATGGAAATCACGGTGTAATTTCTCGTCAGATAAAGCGGTTTGCATGAGCTCCTCAGAGGCATCGCAGAATTTCTTGGTTGATGGTGGATGAACATGAAGAAATGGGCCATCCCGGATCGGGCTTGTACTCCGTTTCATAGGCATGGTCAATTAAAATATTATGAGGTAAAAAGTAAAACAAAACAAATACAAAATAACTGAAATCGAACATTTAAATGCATGTGTAAAAATATGTACACAGATTGTATTCATGAGGCAAGTGTCCTATCCTCACAAATACAATCCACTAAAAAAATATACTTATATATACTTTTCCCCCAAATTCATCCTCTCATCTCATAATTAGACACCCATTTTTAGTAGCCTAATAGAAAAAGTAAAGCGCAGTTCTCTAGTCTCTGCCCACACCTTACAATGAAACTATGATAGCTACCTTACAGAGTCAATGCTGTGGTTAAAGAACGACGTCACATTGGTAATTGCCTAGGGAATCATTTATCATATTTGCAGAGGACAGGGCGCTGATTCAGTCTATCAATGATTAACTAAAAAGCTAACATCTATCCTTGGTCTGCTGTAGGCCTGCTCTGCTTCGCATCTTATGCCATTAGCAGACAAATAAGTGTTTGCTATAGGTAGGCTTAATTGAAAATTGTATAATGTATGCAATAAAGCGGTGTATTTGTCTACACATAATTATTTCCTATAGGTTTATGCGAAATACCTAAATGCAAAAGGTTTTCAGCAACAAGCATATAGGCCTTGTGTCAATTGCTACACGGAATGTCCCCCTCTAGTGTAGTCATGTCCCCCTGAAGTTGCATCTGAACGCAACAAATCTGTTTCTAACCTCAAATGTCATTAAATACCATGTTATTTTATTGAAAAAAAGGAGTGCTACCTTGTGCTATTCTACCCACTGCAACAGGTACAGGCAGGAAGTGAGATTTTTCTCCATCCTTTTCAAGGTCACAGCTGTTGACTGCTGCTCCGAAGGTGGATGGGTCTTCAGCGAAATGAAGGTAGCCTACAGTAATTTCTAACAACAAAAACGTAGCAGCCAACATGCTATTTGTAACAGAATTATCGTGTTTATTGTAGCTGCCTGTCAGCTTCCATTTGTGGTAGTTGTGTAATTTAGCTACCTTGCTAGGCAACAAGCTACATGTACAGTGCCTTCGGAAAGTATTCAGACCCTTTGACTTTTTCCACATTTTGTTACATTACAGCCTTATTCTAAAATTTATTAAAACAAAATAATCCTCAGCAATCTACACACAATACCCGATAATGACAAAGTGAAAACAGGTTTTTAGTAAGATTTGCAAATTTATAAAAAAACTAAAACAGAAATACCTTATTTACATAAATATTCAGACCCTTTGCTATGAGACTCGAAATTGAGCTCAGGTGCATCCTGTTTCCATCGATCATCCTTGAGATGTTTCTACAACTTGATTGGAATCCACCTGCGGTAAATTAAATTGATTGGACATGATTTGGAAAGGCACACACCTGTATATATAAGGTCCCACAGTTGACAGTGCATGTCAGAGCAAAAACCATGCCATGAGGTTGAAGGAATTGTCCGTAGAGCTCCGAGACAGGATTGTGTCGAGGCACAGATCTGGGGAAGGGTACCAAAAAATTTATGCAGCTTTAAAGGTCCCCAAGAACACAGTGGCCGCCCGGCCAAACTGAGCAATCGGGGGAGAAGGGCCTTGGTCAGGGAGGTGACCAAGAACCCGATGGTCACTCTGACAGAGCTCCAGAGTTCCTCTGTGGAGATGGGAGAATCTTCCAGAAGGACAACCATCTCTGTAGCACTCCACCAATCAGGCCTTTATGGTAGAGTGGTCAGACGGAAACCACTCCTCAGTAAAAGGCACATGACAGCCCGCTTGGAGTTTGCCAAAAGGCACCTAAAGACTCTCAGACCATGAGAAACAAGATTCTCTGGTCTGATGAAACCAAGATTGAACTCTGCCAAGCGTCACATCTGGAGGAAACCTGGCACCATCCCTACGGTGAAGCATGGTGGTGGCAGCATTATGCTGTGGGGATGTTTTTCAGCGGCAGGAACTGGGAGACTAGTCAGGATCGAGGCAAAGATGAACGGAGCAAAGTACAGAGAGATACTTGATGAAAACCTGCTCCAGAGCTCTCAGGACCTCAGACTGGGGCGAAGGTTCTCCTTCCAACAGGACAACGACCCTAAGCACACAGCCAAGACAACACAGGAATGGCTTCGGGACAAGTCTCTGAATGTCCTTGAGTGGCCTAGCCAGAGCCCGAACATCTCTGGAGAGACCTGAAAATAGCTGTGCAGCAACGCTCCCCATCCAACCTGACAGAGCTTGAGAGGATCTGCAGAGAAGAATGGGAGAAACTCCCCAAATACAGGTGTGCCAAGCTTGTAGCGTCATACCCAAGAAGACTCGAGGCTGTAATCGCTGCCAAAGGTGCTTCAACAAAGTACTGAGTAAAGGGTCTGAATACTTACGTAAATGTGATATTTCCTTTATTTTTTTTATTTTTATAAATTAGCAAACTAGCCTGTTTTTGCTTTATCATTATGGGGTATTGTGTGTAGATAGATGAGGGGGGAAAATAATTAAATCAATTTTGGAATAAGGCTGTAACGTAACAAAATGTGGAAAAAGTCAAGGGGTCTGAATATTTTCCGAATGCACTGTATATGCATCAAGAAGATCCTGGAAAAGTTTGCTATTAAACCAGCATTTGCCCTCAGTTGTTCTCTGGTGAATGTCAAGCCTTTCGAGGACGATGTATGCACAATCTCTGCAACCGACTACTTCGGACGAGCAGTCTCCAACAAAGCTCTCTTTGTGCATGTTGTCCACATAAGGAAATATGGATATGTGGTTGATTTGTATGAGAGGGAAAACAACACATCACAGAGAGCATCACAGAGCTACTGACCACAACTAAGCACGCATAAATCTGGAAATACACTCCCTCTGAGCCTGTGAGATGGAGAAGAAAATGATGAAACAGAAGTTCTGTAGAAAAGGACAAGTTAATGGAAATGGATTAAGCACGAGTGGAGTCACAAGGAACCCTCCCAAAAATATGTGGGACATTTCTGAATCGGATGGCTGTGAAAAGTAACCTGAAAGCCCAATGTCAAGAACCCCAAAAGACAAGAATCCAGCTGTGAAATTCAAAGCACAGACATTCGGAAGTGAGCTAGCTGTGCAACACACCCTCAGATTTTTGGTGTCAGCTGAAAAGCAAGATCCCCAACTTGGAGGAAATGATGGAAGCAGTATTACCAAACTCACACACTTCCTGTGCAGGCAGGTGTTTATGTTGTTGCCAAGTCTGAAGATGATGGCAGATGGTACAGGGCCTGCATTGTAGGAGCACAGTAAGATAAGGTTGAAGTGATATTTGTGGACAATGGGATAGTAGCAAAAGAGTGTGCACAATCTTCAAGCAATAGTGCCAGAATTCCTTGTTCTTGAGGGGCAAGCATTTAGATGTAGCCTTTACAACTTGATTGAATCTGCAAAGGGCAGCGGTGGTGATTGGGGCACAGAGGCTTGTGATTTACTGAAGGACTTCACTCAAAGCCAGTCAGTGAATTTGACATGCAGTGTACACTCTCAACTGTATGTAAAAAATAAACAATGTCATTGACCTCCAGAACACTCAACAGAATGCAACAAAGAAGCTTGTGCAAAAACGTCTTGCAAGAGAAGGGCAAACCCCTATGCAGCGTTTGGATAAAAAAGCTGTTTACACTATTGATGTGGGAAACAAACCAGTCACAGGTCCACTGTTGCTTTTCTTCTCCTTTTGTTTTTGATTTGCAATGAGCTCCGTGACTTTCTCATTTATGTTTTTTTCAACAATATACACTACCGGTCAAAAGTTTTAGAACACCTACTCAGTCAAGGGTTTTTCTTTATTTGTACTATTTTCTACATTGTAGAATAATAGTGAAGACATCAAAACTATGAAATAATACATATGGAATCATGTAGTAACCAAAAAAGTTTTAAACAAATCAAAAGGAGAAGAAAAGCAACAGGGGACCTGTGACTGGTCATGAAGGACCGAAAGAGCAATCGAAGAACAAAACTGGATAAATAACTAAAGACAGACAGCATCTGAAATCCACAGGCAAGGGCCACAACAAGCCACAACAAGCACCGGCCACAACAAGCACCAACATCAAAAGAAGCGGTCTTTAAATGCTCAAAAAGCAAACCCACCAAAGTGTCCTGATGCCCTGCAAGATTGGGAAGAGCAAAGTGAAAAAAATCACGAAAAAAAAACAGATCAAAGTGATGTAGACAGTTCCTCCAAACTCCCAGAAACAGTTTGCGCCATCCAATTGCCAAAACTTGCACAACACCCCCCGATCAGGGTTCCGAGGTCTGGGGTTTGTTTCCCACATCAATACTGTAGACAGCTGTTTTATCCAAATGCAAGATGATGAACAATCCATTCTGAAAATGGGAGAAGACCTCAACGCTGAGCTGTTTAAAGAAACCATGGAGAACAACAGCACATTGGTGGACTTAAGAATGAATGACCTTGTTGCTGCTGAATATGAAGAGGATGGTGCACTCTACCGTGCAGTTGTAACAGATAATGCATCTAATGGCCATTTCAAGGTGGAGGTTGTTGACTATGGAAATGCATCCATTGTGACGAAGGACAAAACGTACACTCTGACAAGTGGTTTCTTATCGCATTATAGACTAAGCATACCCTGTTTATTGCTAAACAGTGACTCTTATGAAAGTGATCCAGTGATTGGAAAACCTCTCATGGTTGAAATTGTCAGTCTATTTGTGACTCAGTGGGAGGTTAACGTTGAGATCCAGCAGGACAACCCAACACTTGCAGTACAGCCTAACAATAGCAATGATGTGCCTGAAAATGATGAGGTCCAAGCTTTGTGTCCAGTTGACAGTTAAAAAGCAACCAAGAGCAACCATCAAGGACAAAAGCAAGTCCAATACACATTCTGAGAGGGTTATGTTCACTACTCAAGGTGACAAGGTGTTGCTGAAAATGTCCCCAAGACTCTCACCGACTAAGTACAAACATGGCATTTGCAAACACCAGCACAACAGAAAGACTGACAGTAGAACCACAGCTGACTCACCCATGAACTCCAATCAACTCCAATCAACCACCTTTGAATCATCTGTGGATCCCGTGAAGGATATGGCCATTCCATCCCAGGATATCAGAGCCGGACAGGCAGAAAGTGGGACACTGTTGTCCATCTTGGAGAATGGATATCTGTATCTGAGACTTCACAGGAGTACAGAACAGTTTACTGTACTTGAGAATCTCATAGTTGAAAATAGGTCTAAGTGCAAAGTCACGTCTGAGGAGAATGACAAAGAAGGACTTCAATGCTTGGCTAAATTAACCAAAGACGACCAGTGGCACAGAGCAGTTGTACGGCATGGATCTATTGACCTACAGAGGACATCTCAATGGGCTGCATCAAATACATCTGTAATGACCTCAAGCAAACTCCAGCGCAAGCAGTCTTGTGCAAGTGGAATGGCCCTGGTCTCCATATCAGTGACGCTTATGTGATATTGAAGGAAACTCTGAAATCAATAGTAGGCAAGGATATGAAACTCATGTTTGTGTCCTGCTCTGAAGCTGATAACTTGTGGATGGTTGAAATCATGATGAATGGACTGTTCCTCATCCAGCAAATGAAGACTGCAACTTCTGAATGTGCTGAAGAAAGACCAATCCCCACCAAGGCTCAAACTGTGACCACAACAACAAAATAACTCAGCTTGGACGTTTTTCCACAGGTGCCCTGATGTAACGACTGTCTAGTTGTGGCTACCAGTGAAACACTACTCCATATAATGACACTATAAATAAGATGTATTGTATGGCTGGTCTTAACCAAAAACATGTATTAAGCTGGTGTTTTTGCTTGATTAGTCCTACTCTTTTTTTACACTTCAATAATATTGAGATACAATATTTGACTGTTTAGGTCCATACCAGCCTTGACATTCCATAGTTATGTTTTTATGTGAAAGGTAATGTGACAAGCGTGTGAAGAGGAGCAAAGGACTACAAAGCTATTCCTGACATTTTCATAAAACAATACTCTAAATGCATGCCAAGGCATCATGCCCCTCTGAGGATTGGAATTCTCATGAAACACAACTTAATTCTCTTAGGCCAAGATTAATGCAGTTATTATCCTCTATATTCTGTCTGCACATGGTTGTATTTTTATCAGTGGATCACATTGTAGCATGGCTTAAGTTATCTAAATTAAGATTTCAGTATGACAACAGTGTATTTGAAAGAAAATCAATTGTGTTGCTTTTTGACTGGTACTGTTTAGTCTTGATATTCATGTGTCTATAACTGAAGTGGAATGTCCTTTCGTTTGAATGATATTGTGCCTTTTGCTTATGAAACAAAAAATACTGTTGGGATATTTGCATATATTAATAACGTTTTTCAAGGTTGTTATTTTACGTTATAAAATTTTGGCAAACTGCTAAAATGTTATGACTATACTGATATTCAAGTTTGTGATTTGATAGGCCTACTTTTTTCTTTGGTTTTGATGCCACAATGTACTGTAATCGATTATGGTTATTTTTGTGACAAATAACATGTATGCCTTTGACAAAATAATCTTAATCATTTCAGTAATTGATACGCCATTTTGTCTTTTATAATTTTGTTATTTGTTACAGATTGGTTGTGAATGGATTGTCAATAATCCATGTGTAACAATCGTTTGTTCAATAACAAATACTTTAAAAATATATATATTAAGCCGTCGTGAATGTATTTAGGTCACAACACTGTACCATATACATAATTTTATTTAAAAAGATGTGTTGTCAGAAGTGGGATTCGAACCCACGCCTCCAGAGGAGACTGCGACCTGAACGCAGCGCCTTAGACCGCTCGGCCATCCTGACTCACATAAATAATGACAGTTGATGGCGCTCATAATATGCACTCTGTGTAGCTGTTTGAATTCGCAACGTTGTTTTCTTTTTTACGAGATTCAGGGCTCGATTCAATCTGTAAAACTGAAACGTTACAGATTCCGCGATAGAAATGTAATTTCAGATTGAGCCGTCATATGCAGCGTTTACGGTGAATGCAGTCTCCGTGGAAGCGGGAACATTGCCTTTAAATTTCAACCACGCTATAAAATTGAATTTCCGCGATGCGGATTGAATAGAGCACTAAATTGCTGTCTAGAAATTACGTACCATCGCAATATGTTATGGTGCTCACATCATTGTAAGCATTACATTAACACACATTAAAATCTGATATTCATGTTAGTGGATTGTGGTTTATAGAGTGTTGATCATTAGGTTATGTGGTTGCAACGTAGCATCTCGTGCATCACGATCAGACCTATTCATTGTTATCAAGCCAGACAGTTCAATACCACACTTCACATATGTTTTCCTTCTGATGGGAAAATATATAGAGTCGCACAAAAGGATAATTTGGGACATGAAAATAGGCTACCCAGTTCCACAGTTTCGGATTGATGCTGCGGATCATAATACCTGAAGCCATCCACTGTATGGCGTCTCTTCATCAGTCACTGAGGAAAGTATTTCTAGGCCACATGAAACAATTTACTATGTCTGATACAATTATTTGGACAGTGAGTGTAATGCCTTCTGGTTTGACTCAAGAACAACCACCTTAGTCCACCAAAAACATACCAGGGTTACCTACTACTCACGTCAGTAATCAGATCAGATGTGTTCTTCCATAATGTTCCTCTCAAATCCAGGGGTTCCTTGGAGGGGTCATCAAGATGTGCATGTACACAAGATACATACACCAGTGCACCCTGCAAAGTTGTGCATTATCACTATCACAAAGAAACTTTAGCTTAAGTATGTAAAGAAAACACCATTTAAAATATTTCTACACAAATTTGTACACAGTTCCAGCATTTTGTAAAATCTGTATTTATTAATGATTTACAAAAGGTTAACATGAAACCATTTAAATGTGTTACCTAAAATGAGAAACATGAATACATTTGTATACATGTCAGTTAACATCTTTAATGCTGAAACAGAAGCTGAAAAATGATATTGACACTGTTACTTTATGGAAAATTAAAGTTAACATAGTAAAATCTGGCCCATGTTCTGAAAAAAAGAAATCATATTTACACACAAGATGGAGTCCCTCAAACAGCTGTGATTGAAGAGATGTAGGGGTTTAAGACTGGAGATATGTACTTCATGTAAATAGCATACTGCCCAAATCCTTAAAATAACATTTACCTACAGTAGCCTATAGGTCCCAAATGTATTCCATGTTTGTATCGATTTAACTGAATGCTCAAACGTTTTAAATAAACAACATCTGTGCAAGTAAATTACATAAGGTTAAAATAAATACCTGTTATACAAACAAGGTTTTTACTTGTGATTTTTATTATCAATTGAACTGAAAATGAAGTAATTTTCCCATCATGGTACGCTTCCACTTTCCTCATACTGGCAATGTATACAACTGGTCAAATTTCACAACTCTGCAAATGACTATTCAATTCAAACAAAGAAAATCAATACTAAAAGGTGGGGGGAATAGAAAACATAAAAAAATATGACCCCCCCCCCCCCCAATTGACAGTGAGAACCAAAAGGTAAGAGTTCCTTATCTCAATTTCCTACGTCACACTTGTATAAAATGCCCTGTTGGATAAAGTCTGAAGCATCCATTTCTGAAGATAAACACCAAATAAGAGCTGCTACTATTAAGAATTGAGAGTTCTGTTTGGAAGGAGAGGGATATTTACAGTGTGGGTATGCACTCAGGTGGACCCCCAGTAGGACCAAGTAAACCACTTTATATATGTGGAAGTCATAGCGAAGACATAGCATCTTCCAGTAATGCCTGGATCAAAACTAAAGCGACATTCTAACGAATGAAGCATACAGTGTATCGCAAACCAGAATGGACAACATTACTCCATTTGAATCAATGAGTATAAGAAGAAGTTCAACTTAAAAAATTGGTCTGGTCTGGTAAGCCTGGGCATTTATTTAAAAGTGTGAAAATATGTAATGCAGAAAGAGCATAAAATAACACCATAAAATATTCCACATTACAGTAAGCTATTAAAAAAAATACAAATTAACAAAACATTTCATCCCTAACCCAAGAACCATTTTACAAACAAAAATATATTCCCCTTCATGTGATTTCAAATTTGTCTTAGTATAATTGTTTTTTTGTTGTAGTTTTTTTTACAGTGCTTTATTATAATATATATTTGATAGTTTAAGAGGGAAATTAAGCAAATAAATGTCTCTCCTATTGCAACGATACATCTAAATCGTACGTAATGGTCCAGTTATTCAATAAAAACAAAAAAGGAGAGTCACTGGGAAACAAAAGCTGGCTCTCTTTCCCATTGCTCAGTCGGGGCTTGGCGGTCAATTTGTCTTGCTAAGGCTCCAGTCTACTACTTTGTATTGAGTTCATTTTCCAGCTCCATGAGTTTTCGCGAGGCCTTGACTTTGTTGGACACTTCCTTCCCTTGGGAAAAGAGCCGCTGGCGCTCCTTGAAGGTCATACTCTCCGGGGCTCCTTCAGTTATAGTGTTTTCCTGTTCTTGACCACTGCAATGAGAAAAGCAACCACAATATGACAAACATATACTGTACAACGTTGTGAGTTCTGAGAATTCCTATATACAATGTCTCAGTTTCTTATGGTCCCTCGTTCAGTCTAAAAGTATTTCCTCTGACCCAGTTGAATGTTGTGTTTATAAAGAGAGATGCATGGCAGGCCTCACCCTTTCGTCCACTTCTCTCGCAGGTCCTTGTAAACTTCTCCTGATCCTACAACCCCTGTTGTGTTTCCAGTGTATGAAATAAATCCTGTGTTCATTAATTAATTGGGGAAATAGAGCACATTAGTTAATTAACAATTTTTGTTTTGCACCATGTTGGCAGATTAAACCGATAGCATTTTTTAAAAAGCTGCTGGGTACATAACTTATTTGTGTATAACATCTCTATATTAACAATATATTTCCCTGGGAGTAATTTACCTGCTTCAGTACACAAAGAGTACTGCACACCAATGCAAAGTTATTGTGACATAACACCGTGTCAACTGTAAATTGTTGCCAAGTCACAGTCCAGGCTATATATATATATATATATATGACTGTTATCTGTACCCAGCAACTTTTCAGTCACGTTCAAATTATACAACAAACTGTGCTTTTTCCACAGACCAAAACAAGCTGCAGGGACTAGATTAGCTGACTGAATAGCGTTAGTGCATTCCAAGGCACGCCTGAAGCAGCAGGGTCTGTGAAACAAGTGTGTGGGATCAAAAGTGGAGGTCAACCACTAAGTCATGTAGCACCCAAGATAAACTTTACTTAAAAACCACTGGATGTTAGCTAGGAGCTCATCAAAGCCACCGGTGCCTGAATGAGGACTGATTTGGTATCCTAACTGGCATTCTAACTTCTAACCCAACACCATTGACCCCCATGTGACCTCTACCTCTGACCCACAGTAGGCATTCATCAGTAAGCTCACGTGTCCGTGTGTGTCCGGGCAAGGCAAGCGCAGGGCCTGCTGTCTCTCACACTAACCCAGAACTTCCACTACTAGAATCTTACTGGTTGTGTTCCAACATGCTGTGTCTGTGCGTGGAAGCACAACCAACATTCAAATGCATGTCGAGTTTGTTTTCTTTGTTTTAAATGGAATGAAACTGGGAATAAAAGGGCAGACACAAAGACATTTACATGTGTGAACTGAGGCAGGACTCCACTGGCAGGGTCAAGTTCTTCTGGTGCAGAACAGGCTCTCGGAGTCTACAGACTGGTTGATAAGTTGGTACCTATCCAAGATCGGTCTGTCCCCTGAGCTAAAACAACACCTTCTGAACCCCCCCCCCCCCTAAAAATGCATAAAAGTCAACCAAAGGTCTTTCTATATTCTTGTGCCATGGATAATGTTTTCCTTTCCTTACACCTGGCTCCAAATATTCACATTAGTCAGATTTTGCTGATATTCTTTTAAGATAAAGTGGAGTAGGAGGTAGAATGTTAAAACCTTTGGCTAGACATCTAATCTATCAGAGAGCTGGGTTGCCCTTCTCCTTGATGCTGCCAGTGGATTCATCTGCCTGAATGCATTGTGGTTAACAGAGGAAGCCAGTGATTCAGGTGGAGACGGGTCACCTGTACCACGGCATGGCCCTCTGAGAGGAGGAGGAGGAGGTGGTAGTGGTAAGCAGCAGCGTTAGACAATGTCACTGACACACAGACAGACTGACGGGACAGCCAGAGCCACAGACAGACAGGGCAGACCAGATGAGATCGACAAAAACAGAGACATGGCAGACAGGCAGACAGACAGGGCGAAGACTGGAACAGTCATAGCAGACAAAAAGAGGAGTGAACAGAACACTTGAGCGCTGAACGGAGGAGAGCAAAGCAGCAGAGGCAGTAGATATTAATGGATATCAGGTCGATTGATTCAGCGCAGGGAGGCGTGTGACGGAGGGAGGCGGTTTGCAGATTATGTTGATGTGGGGTTATAGCAAGGTTAGTGATTGGTCTCTCAATTTGAGTGAGGAATGCAACACATTAACAAAAGGCCCAGACATCATCATCCATACTGGGTAGGGGAGGGGCACTGGTGCTGTGTGCAGGTGTTACATGCAGCAGGGTGACAGTCACTGAACATCTTGACTCTGTTAGACTGTGTTGCATTACTTGCATCTTTTCTCCATGGCTGTTTAAAGTGTCCATGTACCAACAGACTCATCTGTCTCAAAAATTAAAAGGCACAATCCTGCGATTCCTGTCAATGGTGAATATTATTAAGTTATTTACAGCATTTCTCATTTGGAAATCTATCTTATAAGATCCTTATAAACTACAGTAGACTATGCTATGGCTTACAATGAAACACTGAAAATGTAGTGTTTAGAGTAACATAAAATAGAGATTACACTTTTGAATTCTGTTCTCACCAAGAGTCTTTAATTATTGTGGTTTGTTGACCAAAAATATACAGACTATCCCTAAAATGTAAAACAAAGCTAATCTTTAAACAATTTATGAAAACATAAATACTGTTTTAATAACTTATAAAATAGTATGTAATTGGTTCCAGCTGTTGATGAAAGTAACATAAAGTTTCCACTTTTGTCAGTAGGGGTCACTAAAGGCTTGAAAACAGAATACATTGTGCCATAGATGAAGACCATATAATTAGATTAAAGTGAATCAGTACTTCTCAGTAATCTAATCAGTGATTGGTTTGGAGCCCTGACAGAGCTTTAAACAGCCACAGACAAAAACAATGCCTCACTCAACAGATCTTTTCCCCTTTGCCAAGTGTGCAAGTGAGCCTAGAGAGAGCTGCTCCTCTCAGGTCCCACCCCAGTGACCGTGTGATGGATAAGAAGCGAGTGTCTCAGTGTTCCTTAAAGCCAACACCACCACCAAGCAGCCGTGGGGCCCGCGGGGGGGGGGGGGGGGGGGGGGGGGGCTGGGCAGGCGGGAGGCAGGTGGGCCAGCGGGCGGCAGGCCACCCCCTCAGCAAAACCAAACACACATGAGCGGGTGGGCGTGGAGCGGCAACACCAACAGTACTATGATTGGATATCTGTAGTGCTATCACAGGGAATCACGGGTTGGTTGGTTTATCGATTGCTTTTACTCGCTAGAAGGATGATTGGAGGAAGAGGAATGGGTGAGGACAGAGGACATTTTCTGACAGAAGGATCGGGAAAAACAAAAAAAATGGAATCTGATTTGCTAGCGGAGGAGTGGAAATTCCCCAAAAAAGAGGACAACAAACTATAACACAAAATGATGGCTGATGGGAGATGGCGGGAGAAAAAAACGAATTACAAGTTGATTGGCAACTACAATACAGATCTATTGGATTGTTGATAGAGAGAGGGAGAGAAAGAGAGAGAGAAAGGGAAATGGAAGCCAGAACGCCTCTATCCAAGAAAAACGTGGAAAAACGAACACAAAAATATAACACAAAAAACATGAACGAATGAATGAATGAGAGATATGGAGTGGGAGGTATACGGGAGGTGTGTCCTCTCTCCTTTATGTGTCTACCTTTAGAGTTGCCTGTCGGGATGAAGCTGAGGCTGGGTTTGATGGGAGGGGGAGGGGGCTGCCCTGCAGTACTGTTGGCATTGACAGCCGGCGGCTGGAATGAGCTGGACAGAAAGATCCCATCAGACATAGGACGGGGCTTGCGCGCAGTCGGCTGCGGCTTGTGTGCGGGCGGGAGGTCGCCATAGGACTTCCTGGTGGCGGAGAGCTTAACCTGACCTGCTAGGCCTGTAACGTCCTCCTCCTCCTCGTCATTGTACGAGACAAACTTGGCAGTGTACAAGGTGTCAGGGGAGACGACCTGGGTTTTGAGGTAGGAAGTGTTTCTCTGAGGCGGGGGTGGTGGAGCGTTAGTGGCAGTGGTTGCGGGGGATGCAGTGGGAGGGGGGGGCTGAGGCTGGTAGTCCCTGGGGAGGGGAGGTCTGTACAGACCAGGCTCGTCAGGCGTCAGCAGCTTGCGCTCGGCCTCCTCGTGCTGCCGGCGCCGCCCTTCCTCCAGGCGTGTGTAGTATTCCTCCTCCTGTCTCCTCTAAGGGAATAGGGAATGGGAAGAGCCTGTTAGTGTGGCCTACTCTCACCTCCAAGGTATGGCTGGCTGGACCTGACTCACTCCGCCTCTGGTGGAGGGAGGCTACCCATGGCCACAAGACACCCAGACAAGTCCTCCACCTTATCTGTCCACTATGTGTCTGTATGTCTATGTGTGTGAGGTGGGGGAGACTACTTTGTGTGTACTGGGTTCTGTAATACCTTAGTACAGAAGCCTAGCAGTAAAGAGCGATGGCCCAGTAATAGAAAGGTCGCTGGTTCGAATCCATGAGCCGACTAGGTGGAAATCTGCCGATGTGCCCGTGAGCAAGGCACTTAACCCTGTAAGTCGCTCTGTATCAGAGAGTCTGCTAAATGACTAAAATGTCAATGTAAATGTGCTGTGTTTTTCCTCTCCTTCCCTCCATGCTGTGTTGAGAAGGAGGAGGGATATAGAGACTTAGCTGGGGCCAACAGTTTGAAGTGGTTTGGGTTAGACTACAGTCAAGTGATCTGATAGGCTTGACGACTCCAATTCAGGGTTCTTTGAGGGATTCTACGGTTTTAACTCTGGAAAGGGACCAGCTAGAAAGAGAGAGATTGGTCGGCTCTGGATTCTGTACATGGATCCCCTGGGTTAGTGTGTGTGGTGGGTAGGTATATGTCATCGATGAGATGATGGTGGGGGAACAGATATGATGTATTGTACTCTGGTATGGCCACCACAAACCACAGCAAGGGTGGGGCATTCCAACAGCAGTTCCAAAGCAGTACCTGATGGAATGACTATGGCTTCCCAACAAACATACAATTCCATAAACAAAAAGTGAATCCCATGCTTTTTGGGGGTAGGAGGGTTACATGCATACATCCATACATAACACAGAGGAAGGGGACAATCATGAGGACATGCAGTTGGACATCATTGCCATTATTACAGGGCTTCAATTACCAGTGGTCTGAGGATGACTCACAGGAAAACAACAGCTGAATCAATGGTAACTCAGGGAAAACAAAATGGCACTGGGATGTTGTAACAACGTCACACAAGGCAAGATGAAGGTGTGCTGCTGCTCTCAGACCACTGGTAATTCAATGACTCTGTAACTAACTGGGACAGAGGACACGAAACACTCAGTGATCCAAAAACATGCTTAGCCTCTGACAGACCAAACAACACCAGGCTTCATTAAGATAAGTCAGCATCCTGTCTGTCTGTCTGCAGACTCCCTGGCCGCAGGCCCTCTGCTCTCTGGCCCAATAACACTTCCCCTAAACACAGAACACTTGGTACTACTTCCATCACTAATCACTGCTCTACTGGCTTCCTCTTATGTTCCTAAAACCCAGTCAGACACAGGCCCCTTCACAGTTCTCAGACTGGTTCATTGTAGAGGGGTGTGTTCACAACGCTTCACACAGGATCACTTACAGCTCTGTGGGACACCGACCAACCAGGAACAGAACAGTAGAAACCTTGAAAAAGCTGATGTTAGCAGATTTGATAAAAAACGACCACCTCAGTTGACCCTTTCCACCCCTGAAGGGAAGTGGTCCCACAGATCGGTCTTTGTCTTTCACTATGTAATTGTTTTCTTATGCTGGTGAGCTGTTTTGTTTCATGAGGTAAACTACAATTAGCTGGGCAGATCCCCACTGGGTAATACTAGAATTAGCGTGCAGGTAAGACGCTCTCTGGGTTTTCACTCTGTTACTCTGATGTCCTCTGCTAATAGATCTGACTGGGGCATTTTGCTTTAATCTGCTCTGCTGGCAATGACATCAATCCTTTCACATAACTTAACCAGCTTTAATTTTTTTTTAAACAACGAACTACTGAAAGACAGCTGTGTGCAATACAAGCATCTGGATTTCATTGCGGTCTATCGCATTAATATTCATATCATATTTTTTAATAACCGTATTGAAGTCAGACTGAACAGAAATCACTAATAGAAATGTATCATGTTCACCTGCAAGAACATAAATGAGAAATCATGTTTTGACAGCACCTCTCTAACCAGCTCTGTGTTCGCTAGCTATATGCTGTGTGAGAACTGTGTAGTGCATGTATACGTGGTTCTGTGGGTCCTGTCAGGTAGGTGTACCTTCTCATTGACCTCTCGTCTGGCCCTCTCCTCCTCTCTCCAGCGTCTCTCCTCCTCCTGTTTGGCCCGGTCCTCTGCCTCGCGCTTACGGATCTCCTCCAGCTGCTGCTTCCTCCGCCGCTCCTCGTCCTGCAACTACACACACACACACACACACACACACACACACACACTTCAGCACCATGTACACGGCCCAATAACTTGTACTGCATTCTATTTATCTCAGGAGTCCTCCAAAATTGTGTGCTTGAAGATTAATCAGTTGTATAGTGGAATATACTTTTAAATCAACTGTTTCATACACTATATTCATATGTGTTGTACATTGTTGTGAGGCCATGTTCCCTAAGGTGAAAAGGTGGAAATACAATTTAGTGACAAACTATCCTCAGCTCTACAACTAGAGTAGAGCTACTGTTGCGCTAGTCTGTCTGTGGTCTCACTATGCATAGTGCAGGTCAGGTTAGTTCAGACAGAACCTCCAGTCTTGGGCTCATATTACTACAGTCAGTGTGTTTCCTCACTCAGTCACAGCTCCACAGTAAATCCTCAAAGCCCTAAGGACCCCCATCAGGTCTGCATCTACACACAGGCTAATTCAGCAGATTGGCCCCCTGTGAGGGGCCTCACACTGGCATCAGGTTTCCAGACATGGGCCTGTTGTGTTGAGAATGTCTAAGTCTAGATATTGTGATGGAATGCTCTGTCACAGGATAGGTCATCTGTGGTGAGAGTAAACACAGGATAGGTAATCTGTGGTGAGAGTAAACACAGGATAGGTAATCTGTGGTGAGAGTAAACACAGGATAGGTAATCTGTGGTGAGAGTAAACACAGGATAGGTAATCTGTGGTGAGAGTAAACACAGGATAGGTAATCTGTGGTGAGAGTAAACACAGGATAGGTAATCTGTGGTGAGAGTAAACACAGGATAGGTCATCTGTGGTGAGAGTAAACACAGGATAGGTAATCTGTGGTGAGAGTAAACACAGGATAGGTCATCTGTGGTGAGAGTAAACACAGGATAGGTCGTCTGTGGTGAGAGTAAACACAGGATAGGCTGTGGTGAGAGTAAAACAGTGTGCACTGCAGACAGGAATATGGCGACAGCTGGGCATGCAGAATGAATTACAATGTGCAGCAAGAACAAACAGCAGCAGCATGGCTGGGCAGAGCAGAGGAGCGTCCAGTTCAAGCCTTAGTTACACTCACTGATGACATGATGACCAAACACAACAGACTGGAAGTCAATCACTAGATGAAACATGACTACAGATGGACAGTAGAAAAACGTTCTACACTGTGCAACTTCCCCAATGAGAGGGGAGTTGAGGAGGAGAGCGATGCTATATTGGCTGAGCACCGGCATTGTTCACACAGAGCTGGATGAGTTGAATGAAGTGGACTGACACCACAGCACAATGATGGTTACACCCCACATGCAGATGACCACTGCTGGGGGAGGGTCTCAAATCATGCACAGACAGCCCCCACTGCAGGCCAGGCAGCTCCCTGCTCTGAAACAACAGCTGCATAGTACTGAGCTTCTCTGGAACAAATACAGTATCTAACCATGCCCCAGTTAGTTTTAGACTTGTTTAAGGTTAGATTATTTATTATACTGATTTTCTTATTCTTTCTGGAAATAGTTTTTTTCAGGGATGATTATTTATGTTATGAGGCATTATTATGTGGTATTGTCTTTAAATGAGCCCTGACCAAAAGACTCAGTGTGACTGTCTGGCCTTTGGCTCTCACAGAGACTAAGTTAGATTACCGTTCCCACAGCAGCAGTTATCTAGTGGAGACAGGGCCCCACAGCCAATGAGCATCGCAGGATGACTTCCCCGTGTGGCCACTCAAGACAGGGAGGGGAGAGAATGAACGAGAGGAAACACAGGTGGAGCCGAAGACAAGAAAGGAGGAAGAGTGCGTAAAGAGAGAACGTACCAAGTCTAGAACAGAGATCGCTGGGACAGCAGTCTGCTGCGGGAGAAGAGAAGAAACCAAATAGAAGAAGAAGAAGAAGAAGAAGCATTGCTAGGGGTTTTAGGAACATTTCTCCACAGTATGGGGCTGATTACTGCCAGCGGCCGAATGAACGGCCCACTTCCCCTCAGACAGACAACGCTCCTCTATGGTCCGCTCAGTCCCATCTCTCGCATGGAGCTCCACGAAGTGCCCAGTTTACAAGAAGAATTTCCACATTGTTCCATCACCACCCCCCTGGCCGAAACTAAGACAATCTTTCTCCCTCAGAGAGACAGACAAGCAGGGGCTGTGAGCCTTGACCTGGCTGGCAGGGACTGCTCACTACTTATTGGAATCATTGCCTCACTAGACAGTCTGGATACAAGGTCACAGCAGACTGAAGACAGTACTGTTGTAACAGTTACAAATGAGAAGCAATAAAGCAATACTCTCACTGGTTTATGTTGATCTGTGGTGTCGTCTGAGGGGGGCTAGCGACATTAGCCCATGTTAGATGGCATATGGTACTCTAGCCATCCTGTTAGACCAGGAATATGGTACTCTAGCCATCCTGTTAGACCAGGAAAATGGTACTCTAGCCATCCTGTTAGACCAGGAAAATGGTACTCTAGCCATCCTGTTAGACCAGGAATATGGTACTCTAGCCATCCTGTTAGACCAGGAATATGGTACTCTAGCCATCCTGTTAGACCAGGAATATGGTACTCTAGCCATCCTGTTAGACCAGGAATATGGTACTCTAGCCATCCTGTTAGACCAGGAATATGGTACTCTAGCCATCCTGTTAGACCAGGAAAATGGTACTCTAGCCATCTTGTTAGACCAGGAATATGGTACTCTAGCCATCCTGTTAGACCAGGAAAATGAGATGAATCAATGCCTAATGGCAATAATAAAAAATAAAAAAGAACCAATTTGTACTTTGCCATGTTTCCATGTAGGTTTGTTGTTTGACCGACATCCTGCCCCTTCCTTCCCTTCCCGCCCTCTCTCTGCAGCCAGTCGAGTACAGCAGCTCAGCTCAGCATGGCAAAGCAATGACGTAAGGATGTTGCAGGTGCACATTGCAAAACATTAATTGTAGCTAGCTACTTAATGGTGTTCCTCGTGGGAATTCCATATCCTATTCTGTAAGCATTAAGCCCAGTTCCATTTCCTCTTTTCTCACTGTTCTGCTTCCCATGGCTCGCCCTTCCTTGGCATGAGAAACTTAATGCCCTGTGAGTCAAGAAGCTATAAACATTTCAGAGCTCAGAACATTTATAATGGGTCTACTGTAATCAATGATGGGTCTATGTGCATCTAATAGCACTATGAACATCTTGGGCCACTAGTCTTCCTCCATACACCTTACCTCTGATGTCCGATATGATTCTCTATACCGTAGCCTACCTTCTCCATGTCCTCCTGTTCTCCACTGTGCAACACTAGACCCCTACTCTCCAGAGAAGCTCACCCTTGCTCTCTTCTCCGCCTCCAGCCGCTGCATGATCATCATGGTGTCCATGTCCTCGTCATCATCCTCGTCATCTTCCTCATCACTCTGCTTGGACTCCTGCAGTCTCTTCTGGAACTGCCACTCCAACATCAGCTTCCTGAGCCGGTCGCTCTCCTCTGCCGTACGCTCCGGCTTGGCCTGCAGATCCTGGATCTCCCTGTCTAGCAGGTCTACGATGTGCAGCTGCTGCTGCTTCTCCAGCTTCTCCCGGGCGTCCCTCTTCCAGGGGTCTGGGGACAGGCTGTCGCTGGAGGACAGCTCCTCCTTGCTGATGGTGATGTACTGCAGGTCCCGGCGCTCGATGGTGCGGGGCTGCTGCTGGGGGAGCAGCTCTCTGATCACTGTGTCCATGGGGTTACCCTGAGGGGGCAGGGTGGACACTCTGGGCAGGGTGGACAGTTTCTCTGGCCTGGGGGGCTGCTGCTGCTGGGCCTGCTGTTGGGCCTGGGGGGGGAGGTAGGGCTGGGGCACCTGCTGCATGGGCATGGGGGACCGGGGAGGGGGCATCTGTTGGTGCTGTGTGGGAGGGGGGAGTGTGCCCCCGTGTTGGTTGTTGTTCTGGGCTACAGGCACGGATGGGTTACGGACCTGTCCCAGCTTCCTCTCCTGCTCCCTCCTCTTCCTCTCCCTCTCCTCCTCTAACCGGGCTTTCTCCTTCTCATACCAGCGCTGCTGCTCCTCGCGCTTCTTGCGGTCGGCGGCGGCAGCTGCTGCGGCCTGCTGCTGGGAGGCCGAGGGAGGAGGGGGCAGGGGTAGGTCGGGCTGGGGCTCGAAGTCCTGGTAGTGTACGGGGGGAGGGGGCGGTGGAGGCGGAGGGAGGTCCGTGCGTGTGGACTGGGCCACGGGGCCTGGGTGGGGGGCGATGGGGCCGGGGGTCTTCCAGCGTCCCGGGCCACTCTTGTGGTTGCTCTGGGTCTTGTTGGAGGAGGACGAGGAGTAGTTGAGGTGCTCCTGGCTGGAGGTTGAGGACTCCACGGAAGAGGAGACCTGGTGGTGGTTGCCCCAGTGTTCCCCACTGCCCCGCTGGTAGTCAGCCTCTCTCTGCTGCTGCTGATGCAGGTGGACCAGGTCCTCAGGACGCAGGCCGGTTGGAGGGTAGCCCCCCGGGAGGTCACACAGCTCCTCCTGAGAGTGGTCCACCCGCTGAGAGAACAGACACGGCAGTCACACACACATTAACACAGTGCAAGAACAGCACAGCACTTTTTCACTACTGCATACTCCTAATTCCTTTATAAATTAACAACGTACTTTTCATAGTATATATTCTGAGAGAGGCTATTCAGAGAAAACATTTCTGTATGATTCCTTTGCTCCTGGAGTGATGTCACTGTGTGCACACCTGCATAGCCATGCTGTTGTGGTGGTGGTCTTCCGTGGGGCCGGGAGGACCCCTGTCGTCAGCATATAACTGCCCTGGGGCCGGGCCCATCCGGTCCGTAGACTTGGAGGCTGGGATGGTGAAGTACTCCCTGGGGTAGGTCTGAGTGGGGATGGGGTAGGCCTCCGGATGGGGTGGAGAGGGCTCGTCCTATAGACAAGGAAAAGGGGACTACTATTAGACCATACATTACGGTTGGCTAGGAGATCAAGACAATTCTTCTTCTGGTCGTATAGAGAAGGAATTATGTTAGTTTAAACCATACATTAAGGTCGGATAACAGACGCCTGCTAAACTAGACAATTGTTCTTGTGGTCATGGATTTCTGGAATCAGTGTTATTAACGGTAGATGGCGGTGGGGTCCTGTGGTCAGGGAAACCATTGTTTGTTGACAGGATAAGCTTGTTGGTGAGGCAGCACATGAACACAGCACAACAGCTGGGTAGCTAATCAGTGGTTAGAGAGCTGATTAGGATTTATTAGAGGGGAACATGAAAAACAAGAGAAAGCTATTTTCAATAAAGCTGCTTTCGGTTTTTACCATCAATAATGACTCATAAGACTCCTGATTATAGTTTTGATTTTGAGTGCTGAGAAGAACGGATTAAAAACAGGAAATACTGCAATACTGTATGGCCTCTGTATGATGGCGTTCAGCCCTGTCATACTCTGACCTGTCCAGTGGTGTGACTGGTAATGTCTTGGTGTGGTCTCATAACTCAGACAGAGTAAACCTTCTCCTCAGAGAGACATGCTACGGAGACATTCCTCTGGCTGCTGCTGTTGCGGTGTTTACTCACATCAACACACAGGTTGCCTGTGGAGACAGAGGTGATCTTGGTCCCAGGTCCTCCTGGGTAGACGGCCTTCCCTCCTGGACTCTGGCTTTGGTCTGGAGGAGGAAAACACCATGGAGTCAGAGCTGAGCAGAGGCACACTCAGTGGTCACACACACTCTACCCCAGTGAGCACCGTTCACCATCTCTTGCTATGGGGTTTGGAGGCTTTTGTTCCAGCCCAGCACTAAAAAAAACTGCTAATCAAGACACTGCCACAACTCCCCAGGAACAGGGTTGGGTACCCCTGCCCTACCCCTCCTGACATGTACAGTATGTCACAAATGGCCATTTAAACCTCCCTCTGTATCACACAGGGGTGCTGTATGGGTTCAATATACTCACTGGCCACGTTGGGGCTGGAGCGGTGGTCGGCCCGGTTCTTCAGTAGCCTCTCCTCCCCACTCATCTTCTTTGGTTCTGGGTAGGCCTGCCAGTCATCCTGGGGGCTCTCTGGAGAGCCGTTCTGGACCGAGTTGTTGTACAGTTCAAAGCCTTCGCTCTTTGGTCTCAGTTTACCATTCTTGTCACGCCCTCCTTGCGACGCTGAGAGGAAGGGAGAGAGAGATGAAGGATTAATGAGCCAACCACAGCAGACAGTTAATGGACATCCTTAACTATCTGCAGTCATGTTCTCAGCACAAACACTACCAGCCAGCCAACGCCCCATAAACTACAACTGTCTCTCTAATACCACAGAAGTCTATTAGGCTGGATGTTGAAAACATAACAACGCAGACATTGGCTTCTGACATTTCAATGGAATCTGAAGCCCTAATGCCAACAGCTAAGTTTAATTGTGTGTGACTCGGAGAGACTGAGAAAGTGCCAGAGCCCGTCACAAACCCTGATTATCTACTTAGTCACACTAGTGTGCTGTGTGGTGACACTCTGCCTTCCTCTGACTCTAGACCATGACTGGGGACAAGAAGGGATATTGTCTGCGTCTGAAATGGCACGCTATGGGCCTAGGTTAACAGTAGTACACTATATAGGGAATACGGTGATATTTCAGACACCCCCATTGCCCTAGCAGAGCAGACCCTTACCTCTGGGCATCATAGGAGAAGGCTGGTTGAGGAGCGTGGCCAGGCCGTGGTAGATAGCTCCCTGTTTGGCCACCTCCAGTGTTACCACAGAGCCTGTCCTCGTCATCAACTCTGCAGCCCTGAGAAGAGAACATGGGACTCAATCAGATATATTCACGGGATTCAATCAGAATAGATTGGACTGGAGAGATGATTGAATGCAACAGAACCAAACAAATATGCCAAAGTTATTGTTTTTCATCGTGGCAGTACCAAGTACAGACGTTTTGGCAGACGAGGAGTTCACATAACTTGATCAGGAATGGCTTTAAACATTCCCCATATGCAATAGCATTTAGAGATTCATTTCCCAACAGTTTCAGACTGTCTGTTTGGTGCTCAAGGCCTTGTGGTTTATCACTGGCAAACACACACACACACACACACACACACACACACAATAACTTCTCAAAGCAACCAACAAATCCAAGATTTGGAACAGATTCTGTCAGTTTAAGAGCAGATATTAAAGTGTAATGAGCCATATGCTTTTAATTCAACATGGCTATTAGATTTTTAAAGTTTAAATCAACTCTTTTTCCCTGTTTTTCACTTTGCACTGAGTTTCAACTGTTTTGGCATTTGGAAACCAAAGGAACATGGACAAAAAGGTTGAGGGTGTTTGAAAGGGCATAAAGGATTAATCTGTGAGAGGCGTGAACCAAGGATAACACACATTGTGCAGGTCATTGTAAGTCAGTGCACTGTAGATAAGTCTCTGCTCGTTCGACGTGATTGAGACAATTTACTTCCATGGTGTGACTGGCTGCTATTGAAACAGCTCTTTGTATCAACTTGGCCTTGATGTTCTCCATCTTGGGTTCTCTTCAGTGCGTCATAAGGAGAACAGCAGGACGTTACATGTCTTGCTTCACTCCTAAACCCAGTCTGTACACAAAGGCCAATTAGTGTTGTGTTGGGGAGTGACCCGGAGCGAGGCGGGTCAGGGAAGTTTCTGAGGCATTACCTCTCCTGGGAGAGGCCCACCAGGCTGCGGCCGTCCACACTAAGCAGCTGGTCCCCTGCAGCCAGACGCCCGTCCTACACACACGGACAAGTACACAAGCACATGAACACGCACACGCACACATTCAGAGAAAGAGGGTGAGGGAAGAAGAGACAGAGGTTGTATAATAGCAGCAGTGCACACATTGAAAGTCATTGTTGTGAGTCACTCTAGATTTTTGATTTGATTAGATTTATTAGGATTCCCATTAGCCGACGCCTATGGAGACAGCTAGTCTTACTGGGGTCCAACATATAATGAAAAAGACATTACAGACAAAACACTTTACAATGTACATACTAGATGAGGTCATTCTGAATACAGGATATAGTCGTCATGATCTAAAACCCTCACCATGTCAGCCGCGCCTCCCTTCACAACGGACTTGATGTAGATCCCGAGCTTGTCCTGCCCAGCACCCTAGAGGAAGACAGAGGGGAACATTCACTCTACAGGCCAAGGAGACACAGACAGAACACTTGGACATATAAAGGTCTGGCTGGAACACTTGGCCCCAGAGTTCTATTGTGACACATTCGACTGTGGAGCGCCTGCTGAACACCTGGCCTACTGGACTGGAGAAACATTGTTAACAGTAACACATAGACCATTTAGTGTTAATATAGCACACTTCATCAATAAAATCACACAGCTACTGTAGCACTGTCTGGAGGCCTCTGTCTGCAGTGAACTGCCAGCTAAATTAAACTATTCATCTGGAGTCTAAAGACCCTGAGCAGGACAATTTAGATGAAATTGGCACTGTTGACAGAAGTATCAACAAAACAAATATGGTGTTAATAATGATGCTACATGAGACGAGGCCAAAGGAGGATTGACATGATACGTGCCATCTGCTGTTTTGACTAGCCACATCAACCAGTTTAGGTTCCCTTTAAGCATCACATTTGAAAGCCAGAAAACCCTATAATGAGTGGCTCCCCCTATCCCTCTGCCCTAACTAAAACTCCAAGGCCTCAAATCACCATACCAGTTAATACCGCTTAAATCATTTCACAAACAATTCAAATACAATCCTAGAGTAGTGTGGAAGAACCCCTGAGCGTCAGTGTTTTTTAAAGAGTGGACTAAAAATGTCCTTTTGATGAAAAAGCATTTTCCTGTGGCTGAGCTCTCCAAAGGTAGCAGAGGGTCCTGCCCAATATGGCCTGGCCAGAGCCAGCTGTAATATTTGGGGAAGATCAGGTAGAGATCACATTGAGCTGCCTGGGACAGTACTTGTCTTGTTCGGTTTAATATAATTTAATCTCAAAATAACACGAGAGAACAGTTCACATGGAACTTTGGCCCAATAATACCAGACGATTCTAAAAAGAGCTTTCACCTGTACAAACATGATAGGCTAGATAGTAGATACAGGCTTTACTCCTACTTTGTAACTCCAGAATTCCACTGAACAATTGTTCCTTAGCCCATTCAAGAATGACAACTCCACATCATGGTTGCCTGAAGTAACCCATATAACAGGATCAAATGAGCTTGACTGAGAGAACTTGGCCTCCAGTCACTATGAGTGTTACTGAGAACAAACTGTTAGTCTCTGAAGTTAAACATGAACTCCTTCATGAATTCAAGGGAACTAGTACAGCTTCAGTTAAAGCAATGAAACTGCTCTACACTGGCACCTGCATCTATATGTAGGCAGTCCTGACTCTTCTGATGAGCCACCAGTACAGTACAAAACCTTCAAAAACATGTTATTGTGAGAACGTGTGTTGAGACGCAAACGGAGAGAGAAAACAGAACAGGTGTTTTCCTCTAGCCAAACCAGAGCATCTTGGAACGGAGGAATGTGATAGGCCAGAGAGACAGCAGCCAGACGAGAGGGAGATCACAGCACAGCCCTCCTCCTCCATTGTCAACAACACATTCCTCTGTAAGGTGCAGCAGATAGACACCACCACACAGCATAGCCTGCCTGGTGGTCCTTCTCCTCCACAGCACCAGTTCAACACCTCTCCTATTCAAGTGTAGTGACTCACAATAAGAACCTGTATTTACAGTATCAACATTCCAGTCTGAGCACTAATACCTCTTGACGCTGGGCCACGAGTCTTTGGAAGCGACATAAAAGGATGTGTGTGGGGCTCTGGTGACCCCTAACAGAGAGATCAGCAGGGGGTTTGTGGGTAGAGACGAACTCCAGCTGGAGGTGCTAATAATATACATGTCAAACACGAGAACCGGGATTGGATGGCTTTACCAGTAAAAGCCACCCATGTGTGGGCCCATTGCCCGTCTCACGCGAGGGCTGCCGTGGATGCGACACACTGTTGTTTTAAGGCTAGTGTGTGGTGGTCGGCTGAGAGAGTCTGGTGCTCGACACTAAAGCTACGGGAGAGGTTTGGACGGTCGCCTGCTGACTTTCTGAACATCTGTTTATCCCTCAAAGCGTTTGATGGGCGTTGTGAAGACCTGCCAAAACAACCACTGAAATATAAACCGACAAGGAGTTGACTCCCACACTCCTTATATGTGATGCTTTATGCCAACGCAAACAATGTGAAGAGAGAGGATCTGAAGACGAGAGAGAGAGAGAGAGATAAGAGAGAGAGAATCTGTGGGTATGGGAGCCCAGAGTAGGGTTCAGCCACAGAATCCACCTGAGAAAGCCTAGCTATTTACTCCACAATAGACCCTCAGCACCTCCTCTCCACCATGATGTCCAATTTCACTTTATATCTATTGCATCATACAATTGTTCTAATCTAGCACAACTACCACCACAGAGCATCAGATAAACAAGAATGAGGCAAGAAGATGAAAACCACCAGACCTAAACCCCTTGAATAGAGGGAAGAGTCAACTAAACCAGCAGCAGCAGATACACTGAAGACATCAATATATTCAGTCTGGCACTGTTGTGGTAGTCGCTAATCTGGCGTTTGTCTTATGACCAGTGCTGTCACTTGGAGCTGTGTGACAGACTCCTCTTAGAGGGGCGTCACCTAAGCCCAGAGGGGGACATTCCAGAGGGCCACCCGTCCTCCCTGGGGGACACAATGGTCCCCATCACAGAGGAGGGAACAGGAAGAAAAGGTGTCCCCTTACACGCATGAGGACCACTGGCCCTCTGCCAGGCTGATACAGATTCATGTTTATTGTCCTACAAGAGGGAAATCTTATCACAGCTCACATTTGGCTGGGGACAGGATACTGGGCTTAGTGAGAAAACCAGGGGGTTTATCTATACTGCCACGGGGAAGAAACAAACCTGAGAATGTGTGTGTGTGTGTGTGTGTGTGTGTGTGTGTGTGTGTGTGTGTGTGTGTGTGAGAGATGCAATGCCACTTGGGTTGTTGTGACAGACACTACAACGTCATTAGGTCACCAAAAACCAAAATGGTACTTATGCTCTTTCAGGTGTCCAATCTAAAGCCATAACTAGGTGCTACCTGATCTCTCCAAAACATGTCAGAGCTTCAGTTACCACAGAAACATGTAGACTAGCAGAGTAATGTTCTAGATGAAGGCCTTTACATCAACGAGTGATGTGATGGGAGGGAAATAGGAGCTCTAACCCACAGACAGAGGGAGGCGGTTTCCATGTGAGGCAGTAGACACAGACAGGCACAGCAGGAGGCTTCCTGTACCCTGCCTCGGCCTGTCAGCCCAACACACACACACCAAGTTCATAGGCTCAGAGTTAGGGCAGCATGAAACACAGAAGGTCTATAAAGTCCATTAATAAAGCATGAAACACAGAAGGTCTATAAAGTCCATTAATAAAATTCAGCAGTGCTTTAACGAGAGCTCTAATTGCTACCGTTTTTCAGTACGACGGCTGGCTAGTGTAGCAGAATACTGGGTAGTATTCATCCCTGCCTAAAGTTGGGTTAATCCCCCATCCCTATTCATCCATGTATCCCACCTCTCTCACTAAAACGCCTTCTTCCGGACCTAAAACACATAAAGACCTAACTTGATTTATTCTAGTAAAGGAGAGGAAGTTGACACTAATGGCAGAGTTCACAGAATGAACACGTGTAGCTAGCTACAATGCTGTTTTTAAATGATCACATTGTCGGATGGCGTTACATGTGTTGAGTCGCAGTCATGATGCAGGCCTTGCCCGATGCCAAGAGGAGGTGTGTGTGGAGTAAGTGTGGCAAAGCCTCAAAGGAGACAATTACAGAGTCTTATACAGCTCTAACATGTCTAGTCAAGTCTCATCGCCTCAGAAAATGTGGCTCCAGAACAACACTGCCGACAGCATGTTCAGAGGGAAGATCAAGGCCCAAAAACATCTGATAGAAAAACTATCATGCATTTTATTTCTATCGAATAACAGCAAGCTGCAGTATTCCAAAGTTTTCAAACACTTTTTGGATAAAGTGCCTTGCTGTCTATTTCAATGTTACGGTTGTTTTTAACTTTTTACTCCACGATTTTACTTACTACAAGAGCTGTTTTGCGGACAGACACTGATGCCTTTAAAATGTGTGGACTTGCACCACTAACAACTGACCGCATCACTCTTATGTAACTGGTCAACAACACAGGGTGAGCAGGGGAAATGACCCCCTCCTTTGTAGTATGTGATCAGTTCACCAGGTGTTATGATCCGCGGCTGAGCACGTTCACACTGTGGTGGTAGGGTCCAGTAAGGACAGAGGAGACTTCACCTAGCACTGCCCAGACACACACACCTAGCACTGCCCAGACACACACACCTAGCACTGCCCAGACACACACACCTAGCACTGCCCAGACACACACACCTAGCACTGCCCAGACACACACACCTAGCACTGCCCAGACACATATCACATCTACTCTCACACACACACACCTCACTGTAACCTCATAGTTCTAAATTAAGTTTTACTACTTTACTTGAGAACTGTTATTGAGTTTTTCACAAACTAGCAGACCACTGAGGAGAAATTTAGATTCAGGAAGGGAGCCCACTAAAGCAGTCCAAATGTTAAAAATTGTTTTCTTCAGTCAAATGTACTTTGACACAAACAAACAGTTCTCCCGCCCTGCCCTGCCCTGAGTCTTCCTGTCCAGGGAAGTGCCCTGTAAACCAGCTCTTTATAGGAAATTGGAGCCAAGGCATCAGACCCTGTCACAAAACTACTGTCTGTCCTTTCACACTGAGGCTGCATTCATTCTGTGTGCATATCTCAAACCAGACTCCTAAATGACATAAAACCATACTATGATCTGCAGTTTCCTGCCTTTGGGTTTAGCACAGGAAAGAATAGTTAATCACACCAAGTCGAGTGTGGTGGACTGGAGTCCTGAGAGAGTTTACTATAACACACACACAAATCTCTGTCTCAAGTCAATTTGTCCACAGCTCTTTGGTTTTTAAGCTGAGCTCCATACTGAGATGTGAACAGCTCCATCAATACACTCATTCATTATTCCAGGCTATGCTGCACAATCTGACTGGAGACAGAAGGAGCAAGGAACTAGCAGCACAATATAATCTCACAAGATGGAGACTTATGTTTTATCTCATCTCTGTTCTTAGCTCTCTGTCTCGAGATGGAACATTCTGTCTGTGATGGCACTGAATTAAGCAAAGAGAAAGTGTCCTTGAATCTGATATCAAGTGTGTCAGACACACTGGGCCACCTCTGTGACAGAGACCGTGTGTGACTCCATATTAACACGACACAGACACACTTAGGCACCACACTAATCTGACATGTGGCTGTGGTCTAAATAATTTCAGTATGTTTCACTCTGTGAGGGTGTGTGTGTGTGTGTGTGGGGGGGGGGGGTTTAGTGGAGACCACACAGAGCTGTGTGTCTTCGACCCTCTGTCTGGGGTGTGTGGTGGTGGTGGTTAAAGGAGGCTTTTCATGTGGTTTTCTATTAAACAGGGTCTTCAGTCTTAACAGGCAGATGGGGCTCTGGTTTAGAAGGGGGTATTCGGATATTTCCCTGGAGAGTACAACCCAGCGTGTACAATCCATCTCTCGCTCATTCCTTATCATCTGCTATTCTTTCATTTGTTGTTTAATAACCTGCGCCTCTCTGTCTGTCAGACAGTCTGTCTAAAAGCTGCAAGGCTGTAGAGAAGGACACACACAGCACTGCTCTAATGAAGTCATAAAAACAGTAGTTCACAGAGCGGCGGGAACGAGGGACCTTTCAGGGGCTAACTCAAGCCAGATGTGCTACATGTCAGAGTCTGATTAGAACCACGTCCAACATGGACAGACGCACATGCACACACAAACCATTGGACCCAATGCGCCACAGATTGAAGAGGGACAAGATGTGAGACTAGATGTGTGGTGCTCTGGATACACTGCTAACCCCATAGAGAGGAGAATACCATGAGTACAGCATGTTTTAAACTCTAGTAGCGTTTCCTTACATTCCTCTAACACTATGTGGAGGTCATACATCTGTTGCCTTAAATAGACACTCACTCCCTCTGTCAGTACCTGCTCCTAATCCAGGCATGTCCAGTTAAACATGGAATGTCACAGATGTGAGCATCCTCCCCAATCCTAACTGACAGTATGAGACAATTCTATTTGGGCAAATGACAGTGCTGTCAAATTCTACTATGCGCCAGGATTCAAACTGGCAAACTGTCTCAACACGAGCATGGCTCTCATAGCTGTCAGATGATTAGATCTTTGGTTAGGGAGGCACCAAGGCCAAGTATTAAATTGCCCGTGATAATGTGTACGTCACCGTATACAACTTCACCCAAAACAACTTGTGAGTGAGAGAAGGGTCCTAGGCAGGGCAATTGGAACAGTGAACTCACTGGGCATAGAACTAAACATTCATTTGTCACAGAGGAAAAAGGGGAGTGATTGTTAGCTGGGAACCCACAGCTGGGTTTTGCCATGTTGTTCCTAGTAACCACTGTCGTTCAGTTGAATACATACTGTAGGACCCACCCAGGAAATATAGCCTACTGTAGGCCTGTGTGTTGTATCTCTTACTGTGCCCCAGGGCAGGACTGGCAGGCAGTGAGTGACCAGTGCTACCACATTCCGAGAAGCACACACACACGCTGTTGTAAGCTAATGCTCAGAGTCCCGTCTCACACACAGCCAGCCAGCGAGCGAGCTAGCCAGCAGCAGGAAACACAGCCCAGCGAGCCCAGAACACATCCTCCCATTGTTACTGCTGCTACAGCTCTCTATAGGAGGGAGACCACAGGCTTTGTCCTCAACCAGTTAGCCATTGTATAGCTGCTTCTACACTACTGTTCCATCACTATTGTATCAACATCTACAAAACAAACAGACTAGCAAACAGACAAACAAACCAACTTACATAATCGTTCAAAAGCGCTGAAAGGAATGAGAACATGTCAGTTTAGTTCGAGGGCAAGTCTGTCTACCTCCAGATTGGGGAAAGATGAAAAAGAATAGCTTCCCCAGGCCTTGGGTTGTCGTCAGTGGGGGGAAATGCTGGACAATGAGCAGCAGGACTCCCCTGTGAGGTGGAGTGGAGAGAGAGGGTCAGGATATCCCCCTGTTCTTCCTCCTTTGGAACCCAACACAGTCAGTCCCCACCAAGCACTTTAGGTGAACATCTGCAGCATAACAGCCTGAAGTAGTCTGGCCCCGTGTAGCTCAGTTGGTAGAGCATGGCGCTTGCAACGCCAGGGTTGTGGGTTCGTTTCCCACGGGGGGCCAGTATGAAAAAAGTATGAAAATGTATGCACTCACTAACTGTAAGTCACTCTTGATAAGAGTGTCTGCTAAATGACTAAAATGTAAAATGTAAGTAACCACAAAACTAGGGCTGGCCTGTCAGAGCAGAATCAACTAGACTAGGGGCCAAAAGTTAAGCAAATCAAGCTTGTCCCAGAGTTGAAGTTCTGGCCTGTGTGTGTGCATTGAATTGCCTTGCCTTGACAATCATTAACTCTGTGGCCTTGAGATAGCAGCAGTAGAGCAGCTGGACAGCCCAGACTGGGTCATAGCTCAGTGGGGAACCGTCCTGGGTTCCTTATATAGCAGGGTCACAGCAATATGCTGAACTGGTGTGAGCTGGAGCTTTATTTAGTCTCAGTTTCTTGCAAACAAGCATTCATACATTTTGAATGAGCAACACTGCGAAAGACAGAACTTGAACTGAAAAGAAAACTTGAGGAAAGAAAACTAAAAAGGTGTCAGATATGGAAGACCGTGTGAAGCTTACAGCAGCAGAGAACACTGAGCGAGTGGAACAGGAGCACATCCTGGAGTTCTATTTCCTGTGTCTTCCCATCCTCAACCCCCTCCTCTTCTGCTGCTGCTGTCCTGCCAAACCCTCTACACACACACACACCTCTCCGCCCAACTCACATAGATACAGGTGTGACTAACTGTGTGGAACAGAAATGAACAGAGAGAGAGAGAGCGCCTTACCGACTCCGACTGGTCCTTCCTCCCGACCACAGAGAACCACATGGTGTAGGTAGATAGTTCCCACTCGGCTAGAACTGGCTGATGCTCAGGCTCAATTAAAAGTCCACAACGAGGGGCAGATCACAGCCCAGATGTACTGGTGAAATAACCACACATCCAGAGACCAAAACAAAACAGCTAACGAAGGAGGAGATACTAGGTGTGGCACAGTGAGAGAAGAGAGAGGTCAACACTACCTGCTACTGTAGGACCCCATATGACAAATATCAGCACCCAGCCAGAGTTGGAAATACCATTTACAGACTGGTAAGCAAACAGTCCGCCAGCGCTAGCCACTCACTACTCTGCAACAGTTTGGGTAAACCTTCAGAGCACTAACCAGCTGTGTGTTCTGCACTGGGCAAATTACTCATCTCGCTCTCTCTCTCATTCCTTCGCTTCTCCAGTCTGCCTCTCTGACTCGTGCCTTCCTTCTGTCTCCTGTCCTCCCCTCCCATTTTTCCCTCCCTCCCTCTGCTCGCTCTCCCCTCCTCTCTCGGTCTTTCTCCCTCACACACACACACCACCTCAGGTTGAAAACAGCAGTAAAAACAGAGGGTGTGGCCCTCACCTCCTCAAACCCCAAAATTGTGCTTTGAAAATAAACAGTAAAGGGAGGCCCCTCTATTCACCTCCCTCCTCTATCCACCACCCCCTCATTTTCCCTCCCCCTCCTCTATCCACCACCTCCTCCTCTTCCCTCCCCCTCCTCTACCCACCTCCTCCTTTTGCCTCCCCCTCCTCTACCCACCACCTCCTCCTTTTCCCTCCCCCTCTATCCACCACCTCCTCCTCTTCCCTCCCCCTCCTCTACCCACCTCCTCCTTTTCCCTCCCCCTCTATCCACCACCTCCTCCTTTTCCCTCCCCCTCTATCCACCACCTCCTCCTTTTCCCTCCCCCTCCCTCACCGCACCTCCTCTTATTCCTCTCCCTCCCACCACCCAACCACCCACCCTCCTCTACCCACCACCCATCCTCCTTTTCCCTCCCACCCTATCCACCACCTCCTCTCGGTTCATGCCCCACACCTCCAACACCACTACCTCTCCTTCCTCCACCCCCGCTACACACCCCTCCTCCCTCTCTAACCCACCACCTCCTCCTTTTCCCTCCCCCTCCTCTACCCACCACCTACACCTACTGCGGACTAGACAGCCAGCAAAAACAACATACGGCAAAACGTATGCGCATCTGGTGGACATACGGCGGAAGCCCCCAGACACACACTCACACAGACCAACCCGGGTTAGACCTGGGCTATGACGGTGGCAGCTGAAACATGACAGTCGCTTTTATACACACACACACACACACACACACACACACACACACACACACACACACACACACACACACACACATCTCTCCTTGCATCCCATCATTATCCGGGGTTACAGCAGAGTAATGTAGTAAACAAACCCAGAGGAGAACCCAGTACAACCTAAGGTTCTTACATCCATCCACACCGACACTGCTAGAAACAGCATGTTCCACTGGCAACGTTGTTGCACTGAAAATGAGGACACATTCAAAAACCTTGAGGTGCCTTCAGGCAGGGTCTTGACAACGGTTGAGAGAAGGGCTTATTTAGGATAATTTATATGTGTTCACCAGGCAGTAGTCATCAAGTCTGCTCAAGCATGGACGCAACAAATGTCAGTCAATGTTTCTGGGTTATTTCTTTATTGAATCTCTGTATTTCTCATCACTCACATTGCATTTCCCTTCCAGCCAGGAAGTCACAAACCTTTTCCAGGAGCACTAGTGGGTATCGACAAAAACCTTATCAATAATAAAATGATAGGATTGAAAAATGTCTTACCTTGGCAGCCACAATGCTGAGGCCCATGCCATTGTGCTTCTTCAGGGTGACCGTCACAACTTCCGGTTCCTTCCGCATTTGCTGCAACGAGAGGAGACAGCAGCGTTAGCTTAGGAAAAATCAACTGGAGTAGCTAGAGTGCAGTTGGTGTCAATGGTGGGATCCGGCGAGCAGGTCTATCAGGCTTCTAGAGGGCTTTCAGAGCTGGGAGCTCTCTCTGGGACATTTCTCTGGCAGAATGAGGCGCTGGCGGAGGGAGCAGGGGGATAGACACAGAGCAGAGCAGGGTCGTCATACAGAGAGAGAGGCTGGGTTGGGGTGACCGCAGTGAGAAACGGCGGGGGCTGGAGAAGAGTCAAGAATGAAAGCCACATGCGCTTGGCTCCAGAGGATCTCAATGGGCTCATTTAAAAGGAGGGCTGCCTGGGAGCAGGGTGGGGAGAGGGAGACAGAGAAAGAGGGAGCGGGAAGGCTTTCCACACAGACGGCCTCTCCTCCCTATGGCACTGAACACATTGAGACTCAACAGCCCCAAAGACACAAACAACTCTTTGCTCATCTGCCGAGCTATGCTGTACAGCCACATAGTTCAGACAGAGAATGCATACAAAGCCACATTAAGTAACAGGGCTCTGGTGGCATTTCTCATCGTGTGATGTGGTGTAGAACAAGTCTTTCTGAATGCCATTCGAGTGATTTCACCACGTACTAGAGGGCAGGGCAATGGTGATGTAGGGTTCAGCTGGCTACAATAGAAATTCTGCAGTAAGAGACTAACTCTTTTAACTCAAACAACACATGCCAATGAGAGCATATTCTCCCGAGAGAAAAAGTGGAGTTTCCACAGTTTTAGGATCACATCCGCTCTCCTAAAAGGTCTGACTGCACTAGGCTAGCTACAGTAACACCTCCTGTCTGGACTAGTGATCAGGGAAACCTACTCAATTGTTCTTCTCCTCAGGGATACCCTGTCTATCTCTGTGTGTCTGATTAACCCTGTAACGGCTGCTAACAGGGGAACACTACAGTAGTGATTCTGGAGCAAGGCTGTGGTAACATGAGGCGGGGTGACGGGGTCGCACCGCCTGGCACACGACCAAGAGGCCATTAATCAAAACCTCAGCGGTGCTTAAACGGTTTGGACGCTCTCCTCCCCTCCCCTCCCTCCCTCCCTCCCTCTCCCTGGAAAAACAGGCCATTTATACAGGAAGCAGTGCAATTTCGTTTTTTTGGTGTGATTAGGGTGAGAAGGGTATAATTTACTGCTGTTCAAGAGCTCTCTGGGCACTTATTGGCCTCTGTGGTGTAATTGGTGTTGATTGAAATTGAGCAGGAGGGAATGTGTGTGTGTGTGTTGGGGGAGGTCTGTTAGTGTTAAGTAGAGTAGGGCAGAACGGTATTTGCATGACTGTAGCATGGGACATTAACGTTTTCCATACGATCATTGGAAACAAGCCATGCCAAAACATTCAGTCACAAACATAGAAGATTAGTAATTGCAATATATTCAAGTGTTATAAACAGCTAAAAGTAGCAGCCTATTCATTCCTCTGCGCTTCTCAGTTACTTAGTTAGTACTATGGTGGCTAACGTACAAGGACAGTCTGCGTCATGAGTAGCACTATTCTGCATGACCATGCAGCTCAATGTAATGGTCTTTGTCCTGCATAGTCCTACAGTTGTAATGGCCGGAGGGACACCTACCAGGTCTGAGTTGTCTGCAGAGAAGTGGCTGTCGCAGTTGACTCCTTCAAAGTGGATGGTCCAGGTCCCAGGGGAGTGAGGGTGAGGGGTTAGCCGACAGAATCCTGCACAAGACACGAGGAAATCGCAGTTATCTTCTTCTTCTTCTACTTAGTACAGATCTGAGACTACAGTGACACGGCAGCAGGAACAACTCTTGGAATCTCTCTCTAACACACTGTGATAAGGACAGGAGCAAACTGCTCTCCAGTCTCCTCTTACATAGCTACTACATTCCACTGCCTACGCGTCAACAGAACAAACACGGGCCAGCTCAGCCTCTGACTGGTTCACAACTTTAGGTTTGGACAGAACACAACTGATGTGACATTCCGGAATAGAACTCAAGAATGTATTTTATTTTCTCCTCCACACAAGTACCTCTCTGACAAAGGGGGTCCAGGAACTCCTGGAATCCGTTGGGAATGTTCCGCACGACGTCGCAAGAGTAGCCGTCCTCGGGCAGTAGGAAGGGCAGCTGCAGGTCAGGGTCCTCCTCCAGCTGGACCTCTCGGCCGTCGCTACGGGCCAGCTCATCTGCCGTGTTCTCTGCCACGGCAACCACGTGGTCTATGAGCTCCTATAGGGAGAAACACCAGATTAACCAATGAGGGTTTAGTTGCATCAGAGGAGAGGGATATGTGTAATAGTCCTTCGACTGTTTCTTCAATATTCCACCAAGTAGAAACAGCAACCTTGACTGGAAAAGGGAGCTAGGAAGATCAGTCAAGTAGTGAGCTTAGCTAATGTTTCTCCAAAAATAACAGGACAAACTCCAACGCATTACAACTATGGGAGGAGACTTGTGTTAAGCAATGCTACAAACAGCAAACTCCTACTTCTCCACTTCAGAGTCATTCATTGTAACTCTAGCGTGTAAACAGATCAGTGTGTATGTAAACGGTTCAGTGCCTTCAGAAAGTGTTCAGACCCCTTGATCTTTTTCCACATTTTGATAGGTTACAGCCTTATTCTAAAATTGATAAATTGTTTTTTTCCATCAATCTACACACACTACCCCATTATGACAAAGCAAAAACTGAAATATCACATTTGCATATACAGTTGAAGTCGGAAGTTTACATACACCTTAGCCAAATACATTTAAACTCAGTTTTTCACAATTCCTGACATTTAATCCTAGTAAAAATTTCCTGTCTTAGGTCAGTTAGGATCACCACTTAATTTTAAGAATGTGAAATGTCAGAATAATAACAAAGAGAATGATATATTTCAGCTTTTATTTCTTTCATCACATTCCCAGTGGGTCAGAAGTTTACATACAGTGAGGGAAAAAAGTATTTGATCCCCAGCTGATTTTGTATGTTTGCCCACTGACAAAGAAATGATCAGTCTATACTTTTAATGGTAGGTTTATTTGAACAGTGAGACAGAATAACAACAACAAAATCCAGAAAAACACATGTCAAAAATGTTAAATTTATTTGCATTTTAATGAGGGAAATAAGTATTTGACCCCCTCTCAATCAGAAAGATTTCTGGCTCCCAGGTGTCTTTTATACAGGTAACGAGCTGAGATTAACGAGTGCTCCTAATCTCAGCTTGTTACCTTTATAAAAGACACCTGTCCACAGAAGCAATCAATCAATGAGATTCCAAACTCTCCACCATGGCCAAGACCAAAGAGCTCTCCAAGGATGTCAGGGACAAGATTGTAGACCTACACAAGGCTGGAATGGGCTACAAGACCATCGCCAAGCAGCTTGGAGAGAAGGTGACAACAGTTGGTGCGATCATTCGCAAATGGAAGAAACACAAAATAACTGTCAATCTCCCTCGGCCTGGGGCTCCATGCAAGATCTCACCTCGTGGAGTTGCAATGATTATGAGAACGGTGAGGAATCAGCCCAGAACTACACAGGAGGATCTTGTCAATGATCTCAAGGCAGCTGGGACCATAGTCACCAAGAAAACAATAGGTAACACACTACGCCGTGAAGGACTGAAATCTTGCAGCGCCCGCAAGGTCCCCCTGCTCAAGAAAGCACATATACAGGCCCGTCTGAAGTTTGCCAATGAACATCTGAATGATTCAGAGGAGAACTGGGTGAAAGTGTTGTGGTCAGATGAGACCAAAATGGAGCTCATTGGCATCAACTCAACTCGCCGTGTTTGGAGGAGGAGGAATGCTGCCTATGACCCCAAGAACACTATCCCCACCGTCAAACATGGAGGTGGAAACATTATGCTTTGGGGGTGTTTTTCTGCTAAGGGGACAGGACAACTTCACCGCATCAAAGAGACGATGGACGGCGCCATGTACCGTCAAATCTTGGGTGAGAACCTCCTTCCCTCAGCCAGGGCATTGAAAATGGGTTGTGGATGGGTATTCCAGCATGACAATGACCCAAAACACACGGCCAAGGCAACAAAGGAGTGGCTCAAGAAGAAGCACATTAAGGTCCTGGAGTGGCCTAGCCAGTCTCCAGACCTTAATCCCATAAAAATCTGTGGAGGGAGCTGAAGGTTCGAGTTGCCAAACGTCAGCCTCGAAACCTTAATGACTTGGAGAAGATCTGCAAAGAGGAGTGGGACAAAATCCCTCCTGAGATGTGTGCAAACCTGGTGGCCAACTACAAGAAACGTCTGACCTCTGTGATTGCCAACATGGGTTTTGCCACCAAGTACTAAGTCATGTTTTCCAGAGGGTCAAATACTTATTTCCCTCATTAAAATGCAAATCAATTTATAACATTTTTGACATGCATTTTTCTGGATTTTTTTGTTGTTATTCTGTCTCTCACTGTTCAAATAAACCTACCATTCAAATTATAGACTGATCATGTCTTTGTCAGTGGGCAAACGTACAAAATCAGCAGGGGATCAAATACTTTTTTCCCTCAGTATTTGGTAGCATTGCCTTTAAATTGTTTAACTTGGGTCAAATGTTTCGGGTAGCCTTCCACAAGCTTCCCACAATAAGTTGGGTGAATTTTGGCCCATTCCTCCTGACAGAGCTGGTGTTCTATAGGATTGAGGTCAGGGCTTTGTGATGGCCACTCCAATACCTTGACTTTGTTGTCCTTAAGCCATTTTGCCACAACTTTGGAAGTATACTTGGGGTCATTGTCTATTTGGAAGACCCATTTGCGACCAAGCTTTAACTTCCTGACTGATGTCGCTTCAATATAGCCACATCATTTTCCTTCCTCATGATGCCATCTATTTTGTGAAGTGCACCAGTCCCTCCTGCAGCAAATCACCCCCACAGCATGATGCTGCCACCCCCGTGCTTCACGGTTGGGATGGTGTTCTTCGGCTTGCAAGCTCCCCATTTTTCCTCCAAACATAACGATGGTCATTATGGCCAAACAGTTCTATTTTTGTTTCTTCAGGCCAGAGGACATTTCTTCAAAAAGTAAGATCTTTGTCCACATGTGCAGTTGCAAACCGTAATCTGTCTTTTTATGGCGGTTTTGTAGCAGTGGCTTCTTCCTTGCTGAGCGGCCTTTCAGGTTATGTCGATATAGGACTTGTTTTACTGTGGATATAGATATTTTTGTACACGTTTCCTCCAGCATCTTCACAAGGTCCTTTGCTGTTGTTCTGGGATTGATTTGCACTTTTCGCACCAAAGTACGTTCATCTCTAGGAGACAGAACGCGTCTCCTTCCTGAGCGGTATGACGGCTGCGTGGTCCCATGGTGTTTATACTTGCGTACTATTGTTTGTACAGATGAACGTGGTACCTTCAGGCGTTTGGAAATTGCTCCCAAGGATGAACCAGACTTGTGGAGGTCTACAATTTCTTTTCTGAGGTCTTGGCTGATTTATTTTAATTTTCCCATGATGTCAAGCAAAGAGGCACTGAGTTTGAAGGTAGGCCTTGAAATACATCCACAGGTACACCTCCAATTGACTCAAATGATGTCAATTAGCCTATCAGACGCTTCTAAATCCATGACATCATTTTCTGGAATTTTCCAAGCTGTTTAAAGGCACAGTCAACTTAGTGTATGTAAACTTCTGACCCACTGGAATTGTGATACAGTGAATTATAAGTGAAATAATCTGTCTGCAAACAATTGTTGGATAAATTACTTGTGTCATGCACAAAGTAGATGTCCTAACCCATTTGCCAAAACTATAGTTTGTTAACAATAAATGTGTTGAGTGGTTGAAAAACAAGTTTTAATGACCCCAACCTAAGTGTATGTAAACTTCCGACTTCAACTGTACATACACATATACATACATACACATATCCTTTAAAAAAAAAATATTTCCCTTTATTACTTTCCAACCCCACCACCACTTCCCCAATTGGAGTAAACTAGTGAACAACCATGCTTAGGCCTCTACTTCCAGCTTATACATACTATATACATTTTATGGACACAGTCAATTTTACAATAATTATACTTTGTTTGTTTTTACTCCTGAACTTCCTCTACCCTCAACCTTTCCAATCATTTTCATGATGTCCATCCGGTTTGCTTCTATATGCCATATCTTTCTAACTGTGCTCTTTCACAAAAGCTCTCAACCTATAACCTATATAGTTATTATGGACACAGTATGCTTACATTATTAGTTATCTTGTTGTTATTAGTCCCATCCTTGACCTCCATTCAACACCACCCATCTATCTCTTAACACCATCCATATTGGATTTCTATTTGCCATATATTTTTCAACTGTACTGTGATGTTCCACAAAAATTCTGAACCTTTCTATTCTCATTGTTTCTACAGAGTGTAAATTGAAAATAAATATTTTTGCTAAAAGTATTATTATATTTTTGATCGATTGACTATGACTTTTCAGATCACCCAGTAATGCTATCTGCAGGGTTAGCTCCAGGTAAATATTGCAATCCTTTAGCCATTCCTGGACCTGTGTCCAAAAACAAGCTACAAATGGACAGTACCAAAACAAATGATCTAATGATTCTGTCTCTTCGAGCAAAATCTGCAGAGCTGGGAAGATTGTATCCCCCATATAAATAACATTCTATTGGTAGCAATACTTTTATATAGTAATTTAAATTGAACAAGTTTAATTGAATAAGTTTTGAAGTACTTTACTCAGTACTTTGTTGAAGCACCTTTGGCAGGGATTACAGCCTCAAGTCTTCTTGGATATGCCGCTACAAGCTTGGCACACCTATAATTGGGGAGTTTCTCCCATTCTTCTCTGCAGATCCTCTCAAGCTCTGTCAGGTTGGATGGGGAGCGTTGCTGCACAGCTATTTTCAGGTCTCTCCAGGGATGTTCGATCGGGTTCAAGTCCGAGCTCTGGCTGGGCCACTCAAGGACATTCAGAGACTTGTCCCGAAGCCACTCCTGCGTGGTCTTGGCGGTGTGCTTAGGGTCGTAGTCCTGTTGGAAGGTGAACCTTCGCCCCAGTCCGAGGTCCTGAGCGCTCTGGAGCAGGTTTTCATCAAGGATCTCTCTGTACTTTGCTCCGTTCATCTTTGCCTCGATCCTGACTAGTCTCCCAGTCCCTGCTGCTGAAAATCATCCCCACAGCATGATGCTGCCACCACCATGCTTCACTGTAGGGATGGTGCCAGGTTTCCTCCAGACGTGACGCTTGGCATTCAGGCCAAAGAGTTCAATCTTAGGTTCATCAGACCAGAGAATCTTGTTTCTCATGGTCAGAGTCCTTTAGGTGCCTTTTGGCAAACTCCAAGCGGGCTGTCATGTGCGTTTTACTGAGGAGAGGCTTCTGTCTGGCCACTCTACCATAAAGGCCTGATTGGTGGAGTGCTGCAGAGATGGTTGTCCTTCTGGAAGGTTCTCCCATCTCCACAGAGGAACTCTAGAGCTCTGTCAAAGTGACCATCAGGTTCTTGGTCACCCCCCTGACCAAGGTCCTTCTCCCCCGATTGCTCAGTTTGGCTGAGCGGCCAGCTCTAGGAAGACTCTTGGTGGTTCCAAACTTCTTCCATTTAAGAATGATGAAGGCCACTGTGTTCTTGGGGACATTGAGTGCTGCAGAAATGTTTGGGTACCCATCCCCAGATCTGTGCCTCGACACAATCCTGTCTCGGAGCTCTACGGACAATTCCTTCGACCTCATGGCTTGGTTTTGCTCTGACATGCACTGTCAATTGTGGGACCTTATATCGACAGGTGAGTGCCTTTCCAAATCATGTCCAATCAATTGAATTTACCTCCAATGGACTCCAATCAAGTTGTAGAAACATCTCAACGATGATCAATGGAAACAGGATGCACCTATGCTCAATTTCGAGTCTCATAGCAAAGGGTCTGAAAACTTATGTAAATACGTTTATTAAAAAAATAAAAATATCTAAAAACCTGTTTTCACTTTGTCATTATGGGATATTGTGTGTAGATTGCTGAGGATATATAAAAAAATAATCAATTTTAGAACAAGGCTGTAACGTAACAAAATGTGGAAAAAGTCAAGGGGTCTGAATACTTTCCGAAGGCACTGTAAATAGCTCAGTGTGTATGTAAATGTCTCAGTGTGTATGTGAAGAGAACAGTGTGTATGTGAAGAGAACAGTGTGTATGTGAAGAGAACAGTGTGTATGTGAAGAGAACAGTGTGTATGTGAAGAGACCAGTGTGTATGTGAAGAGACCAGTGTGTATGTGAATAGAGGAGTTTGTAGTCATGTCTTACTGGGGGGATGTAAGGCTCATCGGGAGCACAGTGGTAGTTGGTCATGAGGGCGTTGAGCTGCAGGGAGTTGAGCTTGAAGCAGGTGTTGTTGATGTTCTGCACATCCTGCATAGAGTACTTGTCCATGGTGAGGAGAGTCGTAGCCTGGGGAGGAACAACAGAACAGAGTACTATTAATGACAGAGGAGGACTTGATTTACAGTGACCTGTGGTCCACACTGAATTCCTTCCCCTACAACTTTCCTTAGGCACAACGGCTCCTAAAGCTTCACCCAGAGCTGTTGACACATGCTTTCAATAGAAACCATCATTTTGAGGTGGAAGAGCCTGCCCTGCCTAAAATAAGTTATTGTATTGAAAACAGTAGGTAGCTAACAGGTGTGCCATCCTGGACAAAGATAGGTGGATCCTACCTGGACGATGCGGCTGAGGTGGCAGTCGGCGGCCAGCTCCAGGCCCTGTTTCTCTGCCCAGGCCTCGATGTGGCTGAGCTGCTGGCGGAGGATGGCGCCCCAGTAGTGTGAACACAGTCCAGAGTCGGCCTCCATCACCAGCTTGTTGAACAGCCACATGTTGATGAAGTGAAAGAGCTGGGAGAACAGCTGGATGGTCAGCGCCGCGTTGACACGGCAACGACGCAGCAGCGACATGGCGCCCGTCAGGGTGTGCAAAACGTCCTCTATGAGGGGAGAGAGAGATGGAGGATGAGGAAGAGGGGAAGGAGGAATGCCTTTTTACATTTCCACTACTGCTGGAGTACTTAGTGAATTTCCAGTCCACCAAGGTTTCAGTTTATTTATTTACAGTATGTCCCCACTAGAGGGCTCACTTTTTTTTTTTTAAACAAGCTGAGTGACATACTGTGTAGCTGTGAATGGAAATTCAAATGTAACAGTATCCCCCCCCCCCCACTGTGGACTGGATGAGTGTAATATATACAGTAAGAGTGTCAGAACGTGTATGAACAGAGGTGAGTCACCTATTTTGGGCCTTTGAGGGTTCTGTTCCTCTGGGTCGTCCAGGAAGGCAGGCATGTAGTTACTCAGGTCAGACTGCAGACACTGGACCAGGTACCTGAGACAACACCACAACACATTGGTTCTGTACGGTCCACAAAGATATTGATTAACAAAGACACATACAATGCATATACGTCCACCTACATAAAGCCAACCACACAAGTTCCCTTGCTCTGAGAGCAACACCTGTCCTGAAAACAAAACTTGTCCTGAGAGCAACACACAAACACAAAGACAGACATGCATGTAGAAGAATGCAGAAACACACACAGTTCCACTGCTCTGCGGCCCTAAGGGGACTTCCTCTGGAATCCCACAATAAAACAGTGGTCTGGCCTCGCCGGCGCTCTGCTCCGGGGAGACAAAGCACCAGTTGTTTCAGCTAGCCATTCCAGGGAGCAGCAAGCAGAACAGAAGGAACAGGGGACTGCGAGAGCCGTGGAGACTCAGTCTGAAACCACTGTTTTTACTGGGACCTCTCCCCTCTCCCCAGGCCCATCCAGCCCTGCTCCAGCCTGGCCAACACAAGCCAGGCCCCAGACATTCCACACAGCTCCCCTTCCTGCTCCTGCATCCACACAACGACTCCACAAATACAGTACGGACAAGGGCTAGATTTACTTTCTCCAGATCCTTACATGGGCCGAGCTGAAGCAAGACAATTATCTTGCTTAACTCCCTGTCCCTCAGCTACTTTTATTGCAACAGTCGCTATAACATTGTGACATTGATGAAATGCTAGTTAAACACAGCTCACGGGGAAGCTCAGCCAGAAGTTAGCACGGACTGCTAAGCACTAGCTAGGACATTGTGAAAAAGGGCCTTTTTTCCATGGGCAGCAGACATCTATATTTAGTTTTCTCACTCAGGAGAATCAATGCCAGCAATGGCAGGGGACTTCACATTTGGATCTATAATTAGTATAATAATTGTCGAATTATACCATTACTCACATGTGGTTTGAGTTAGCCCTGATGGCGTACATGCAGACAGGACGTACACAGGACTGACAGGATAGTGTTTGACTAGCACACAAACACAGCTGGGAGCAGGATAAGGTAAAGCCTTGCCTCCAGGTCATGGATGAGAAAGTGGGGACAGAGACTTGATCAGAAGGGGGACAGGAACAAGAAGGGGGAATGATGGGGCCACGGGGAGTGGAAAGAAGGGGACAAACAGGGGCAGGGGCAGTAAAAGAGGCTGGCCAAGAATGCAGAGGAGCATCAAACTACAGAGGAGAGGACCAGGGGTTAGGAAAGAGACAGGGGGCCAGAGCGTAAGGAGGAAGTCGGGGCACTCACTTGAAGGCCATCTGGACGAGGTGTGCCAGCACGTCCTGGGCGTCCAGTGTGATGCGCGACAGGTCCTTGTCCTGCTTGATGAAGTTGAGCAGCTCTGAGGCATTAGCCATCCAGAAGGCCAGGGCCCCCGCAATGTTCTTCTGCTTCTGGAATACACCAATCACAGGGCAGGACAGACAGACAGACAGAGAAAGTGAGCAGGGGGTCAGAGAGGAGGTATGGACAGACACGGGGGGACGGACGGACGGACTCTCTCAGTCTCACAGCCATGAGCAGTAGCAGCACTCCAGGGATAGACTCGTACCCCTGCCACCCTACCCAACCCCAATCCCAGACCCCCAGAACCAGACACTGGCCCCCAGTTACAGCCTCTCCCAGAGGGTCAGTTTTGGAGGGAGGGCCCTGTGCAGAGTAGGCTACTGGATTAACAGGCTCTTTGGCATATTACAGTTGAGGGAATAGACATCTTGTACAGCTAATAGGCACAGATCTAACATCAGTTTACCCTCCCCCAATCCTAACCGTAACCATTTTAGGGGGAAAACTGACCCTAGTACAGTGTCTACAGGGAATTTAATTCAACTTTTATTTTCTAGCTAGCCTCTGTGTGGAGCAGTTCTCTGCATGTCCTGATATAAATGCCATCTACTTTCCTCTAGCAGCAGCTACTGTATCTCCGCACGGGGACCGCATTCCACATCAACCAGTATACAAACAAATATTGGTCTGGGATGGACATTCAGCTCAGTCCACATGCATTTTACCCTGTAAAGCTGTTCTTGAACACCTCTAACATTTAGCAGAGATAAACAGGAGTAAACCGTGAACAGGCAGTTCGTGCTTTAGAGCCCAGTGTCTGGTCTGTGTGATGAGCTAATGTCAATGTTCCCTTAACACAAAGAATAAGGGATACACAAGGTCCGCCCAACTTGTCTCGGCCGGCACTGGTCCCTGTGTATTCCGCACTCGTCTATCCCCACAACGAAACGACAACACCCCCCTTTCAGAACGGCCACAGAACAGAACGCATCCAAAAGAACAATGTTAAACCACAGACATAAAATAAAACATGTAAAAGGGAAAAATGTAACCAAGGCAAAAGAACGTTGGGGTTTGTCTCTCATCCACACTGAAGTGCAGGGAAGCAGCAGGTCACATGGAAATGACAATTCATTAATTAAATGTTGCCACAATCAGAGATTTGTTGGGGTTGTTTTTAGTACCACATGTTCCAGGTTGAAGGCTGAATGAGGGTTATTATGTTGGAGTTTTAGAGTCCAGCTGTTGGAGAAGGGATTATTTGGCGGTTTGGTTTGTTGAGGGGTTTTTGGTTTCTGTTATGGAGAAAAGAAGCATGGAGGACTAAGCGAAGCTTGACTGAGCCGATAGAGGGAGAGACTGAGTGAGAGAGATGAGAGAGAGAGAGAGCTCTCTCCCCTAGCGACGTGTTAGGTGTCCTACCTGGTCAGCTTCAGGAATCTCCTGTCACAGAGAGGTGAGGGTGGAAACAAACAGACAGACATCCCACAGGACAGAGAGAGACTGTCAACAAAAGCCATGGCATGGACAGAGATTCACACAGGCATGTCAACACAACACACAACACAGCACTCACACAATGGTCACGTGGAATACACATTAACTCCTCTTTGGTATTGTATTGGTAATGTTTATTTATTTAAATATAGCAAGAGAAGGCACAGACTCTACTGGCAGAAACTAGTTTTGAATGTAGCCAAAATGATGTTCCCTGTAGGAGGCAGAGACATTTATACGCAGATTTTATTATTTAAGGAACACAGATTACATTTCAAATGTCCGTCATAGAGGCTTAAGACTTGGATTTCCAAAATCATCAGGATGAAATCCACCTTTAAATGGATTTAATGACTGTAATCCAGATTTCTAAAAGACTCACACAGAGCAACGCAGACAGATTTCCCTAATGCTCCTGGACTGTGTGTGTGTGTGTGTGTGTGCGCACAGTATGTGTGTGTGTCAGACATTGTCAGTGTGTAGACAGATAATCATCTATTAACAGACTACACTCCGTATGTAAATTGAGAGTGTCTTTAAGGTTGTATATAGAGACAGGATGAGGAATCCGATAAGGACTGACCTGACAATCTACAAGTCTAAACTCCCACCATATTAGAGTGTTGTGAGGAGTCAGTCAAACTACCAGGTTTTCACACATAACTCAGGGTTGGTGTCCCAGAGGAAGGGTATTACTGCTACACTAATTCAAAATGGCATTTGGGTTTTGTGTTGGCTGAGAGGGCTTTTGGAATACCACAATGATTCTGTAGTTCAGTGTGTTCCAGTGAATTCATTTAAAGGGCCATTCCTTGTTTAAATCATTTAGGTAGGGGGACACAGAGACGCTGGACAGACAGAAACACACATAACATGGGCTTTGCGCCTCTACAAAGTATTCTGTGGAAATTACCTAGTTGAATAAACCAAGATAAATCTTACAAAATACTACTACTACTACTACTACTACTACTACTACTACCTAGTCAGCTATAGTGTTTGGGGTTTCGGTCCTGGGTCACCTGTATCTCTAGAGGGAAGTGAAATTAACCAATCAAAAGAAAAATAACAACAGTATTTTCTGTCAGAGTCTCCTTTTTTCAGGCAACTGACTGAGGACATAACCTGGTCACATCCGCTCCAAACCCAGGCCTTAAACCTTGAATGTCCTCCTAAGTAGAAAGAGCAGATAAAAAGCAAGCGAGGGAGCAGGATGGACACTCACCTGGATGACTCCTTCCATCATGCTCACCATCTTGTTGACGATGGCTATGACCTTGTGGGTGCGTTCCGAGGGGCTGATGTCGGGCCGGTAGTGGCTGGACATGACGTAGCGACAGGTCATGTACAGCACGTAGGTGGGGGACAGCTTGAAGTGCACCGTGGAGCTGTTGGTGTAGTTGATGATGGCCGACAGGAAGGTATCTTCGGCTGGAGGGTGCATGGTGGGTGACACGCAAACGGTGCGGTGTGAGTTCACATGACATAAGTCACTGGAAGATGGTCAGTCCTGCTTTTGAGAAACTAACTAGCTACAGGAGTCTCTCTGTGTGCGTGTTTGTGTGTTAGAGTAGGGACTCAGATGGGCCTTGTGATAACATTGTCCCCAACCCTGGCTTCCTGGTTCCCCAGCAGGGGCTGTTTGTAGTGCAATGTGAGAGAGCAAACCCCCTCTATTGGAAATCAAAGGCTTCTGCTCTCTCTGCTCCCTGGTCAAACACATGAGCTCACACAACTCCAAATACAGTGACTGACTTGACCCGGGCCCAAGACTGCAGAGTCCACAAACAAGGTTCTGCATATAAAAGGGCTTGAAAGGCAGTTAAAATGGCTTAAACCAATAAAGCTATGCCAAAGGGGGAGTGGGAGAGCCCATCACACATGTCAGAAGTAGAGGAGTACATTCAGTGTGTGTTCATGGGAGAATCATTGCATTTCATTCACAGAATTGACTGGTGTTTAGCTCCCTATTGATTAGAAGGTAATCAATCAATCGCTCGATCAAGAGAGAGAGCGCGAGAGAGAGAAATGGAGAGAGGGAGAAGGAGCGAGGGAGAGAGAGCGAGAGCGAGGGAGAGGGAGAGAGAGAGAGAGAAAGAGAGCGAGAGAGAGACAGCGAGAGCGAGAGCCCTGCATGCTACCACCTGCTATTTTCACAGCTTGACTAATTAATGTCGACATTCATACAGATATGACCTCTATGGTACTAAGGTCTAACTGTGTGTATTTTTACATAACATTTCAGTCAATTTTAACATGACTGTGTTCAATAAAAACACTAGGGGCAGTGGACAACATTAAAAGCCAGTTGGCGGCAGCTTGCAGATAATGAGTCAATACTTTGATCTTTCAGACACTAGCTAAGTTCACTATGGCAAGACCTCCAGTTTAAAATAATAAATAATAAATAAATAATACTGATAGTGTCGCTCAGATGGTGTGGATGGCCCCTATCTAGATATGTTATCATTACTTCACACTTTTACTGAACTATAATAATAATAATAATATGCCATTTAGCAGACGCATATATTTTTACGTATGGGTGGTCCCGGGGTTCAGTTGTGTGTGAAGAAGAACAGTCTATACTTTGTACTGTTCGCTCAAGAACACATAGTATAGATGAGTTAGTACATCATGATCGTTAGACACTGTCAATTTAACTGTCACTTTACGCAGCTGTATGTGTAATGTGAATGGTGGACAGCCTACACACCAAGTATAAAGAGAGAGAGAGAGATATAGAAAAAGAATGAGAGAAGAGAAACAGCTAGAAACAAAGAAAAAGAAAGAGTGTGAGAAGGAACGATAAAGAGAGAGCCAGTACTCAACTCCAGTAGAGAAGGTGGTTGCAGTACTCACAGTTGTCCCTGAACTCTATGCTGGCCGGCAGCGTCAGTTCTGGGCTCAGGCTGTCCTGGGACCTGCGGGGAGGACAGAGGCTCTCAGTAAACCAGCACACGTAGGGCCCGCTCACCCCACTGTCCACCGACGCACACCTCTCCAGAGGCAGGGCCTGCGCATGCTGGTACAGCATTGTGCCAGTCTGCTCTGGGTGTGTGTGTGTGTGTGTGCACTACCGTTCAAAAGTTTGGGTCACTTAGAAATGTCCTTGTTTTCGAAAGAAAAGCAATTTCTTTTGTCCATTAAAATAACATCAAATTGATCAGAAATACAGTGTAGACATTGTAAATGTTGTAAATGGCTATTGTAGCTGAAAACGGCTGATTTTTTATGGAATATCTACATAGGCGTACAGAGGCCCTATCAGCAACCATCAGTCCTGTGTTCCAACGGCACGTTGTGTTTGCTAATCCAAGTTGATCATTTTAAAAGGCTAATTGATCATTAGAAAACCCTTTGCAATTATGTTAGCACAGCTGAAAACTGTTGTGCTGATTAAAGAAGCAATAAAACTGGCCTTCTTGAGACTAGTTGAGTATCTGGAGCATCAGCAATTGTGGGTTCGATTACAGGCTCAAAATGGCCAGAAACAAAGACCTTTCTTCTGAAACTCGTCAGTCTATTCTTGTTCTGAGAAATGAAGGCTATTCCATGCAAGAAATTGCCAAGAAACTGAAGATCTCGTACAACGCTGTGTACTACTCCCTTCACAGAACAGCGCAAACTGGCTCTAACCAGAATAGAAAGAGGAGTGGGAGGCCCCGGTGCACAACTGAGCAAGAGGACCAATACATTAGAGTGTCTAGTTTGAGAAACAGGCGCCTCACAGGTCCTCAACTGGCAGCTTCATTAAATAGTACCCGCAAAACACCAGTCTCAACGTCAACAGCGAAGAGGCGACTCCGGGATGCTGACCTTCTAGGCAGAGTTGCAAATAAAAAGCCATATCTCAGACTGCCCATCTTAATCTTTTATTTTTATTGGCCAGTGAGATACTCCAGATACTCAACTAGTGTCAAGAAGGCCAGTTTTATTGCTTCTTTAATCAGCACAACAGTTTTCAGCTGTGCTAACATAATTGCAAAAGGGTTTTCTAATGATCAATTAGCCTTTTAAAATGATCAACTTGGATTAGCAAACACAACATGCCATTGGAACACAGGACTGATGGTTTCTGATAATGGGCCTCTGTACGCCTATATAGATATTCCATAAAAAATCAGCCGTTTCCAGCTCCAATAGCAATTTACAACATTATCAATGTCTGCACTGTATTTCTGATCAATTTGATGTTATTTTAATTGACAAAAAATTTGCTTTTCTTTAGAAAACAAGGACATTTCTAAGTGACCCCAAACTTTTGAACGGTAGTGTATGTATGTGTGTGTGTGAGCGTCCATCGGTGTGTGAGAGCATGAGCTTCCCTGTGCGTCAGAGTGAGCAGCCGTATGTGTGTACACCATGTACGAGAGTGTGTGTGTGTGTGTGTGTGTGTGTGTGTGCGCATCAGGCCCAGCGGTCTGTATTATTGATGAAGGGACCCAGTACAGCTCAGTGAGGTTCGGGTTTCCCCTGACTCGCAAGGCATGGATGGAGATCGTGTGTCTGACAGGGAAGGGGACTGTAGCGTGACAGAGTTATGACGTTACCTGCTCTCTAGGCAGCACCACAGTAAACACATAGATGCTGTCTCTAGTAGCAGCTGACCTAGCTTTAACTGTTTGGACTGAATTGACTACAGTGGAGATTCCAGATGTGTGTGTCTCACCTGCTGTCCTGCTGCTCCCCGCGGATCATGGGTTTGACCATGCCTCTCTCGCTGCCGTTGGCTGAACGCTCCATATCCAGCTTCGCTGAGCTCTGCAATAACACAGCAACACACATCATGGTCGAATGTTCTGCAGCCCAACGATAATGATGATGGCTTTAAGATCCCTCAAAACACACCAATTACACAAACATATGAAACACTCTGACCGCAATCACATTTATTAAAAAAAACACACAAGTAGTGCAGAGAGTACCAAGGGACAAACATTGACATGGAGGCGGAGTTACTGTACCTTGCTGGTGGGGAGGGTCGTCCCACTGTGGAGGTCCCCTTGCAGGTCAAAGGACGTCTCAGGAACACTTCTGCGTGACAGATGGACAGAACAAGAGAGATAGAAAGAGAGAGAGAGCGGGACAGAGACAGAGGGACCGAGAAAGGGACAGAGAGAGAGAGACAATATAATCAGGAACAGAACATCCCCCAGGCAGCGCAGGAGGGACTTTCATTACTGGGAATGAATGACAGGAGCTCAGACATAATCCACAGCACCACGCACACATACCAGGCGCGCACACACAGAGACAGACAGACAGACACACAGTCTCATATACAGGAACACCCACACACACAGTCTGTCTTATTTACAGCCACATATATATGTACACACACACTCCGCCACCCATGTTAGGACTGGGACAGTCAACAGAATCCCAGAAATTCCCTTCCATTGGCATTATTTTACATTTGAGTCATTTAGCAGACGCTCTTATCCAGAGTGACTTACAGTTAATGAGTGCATACATTTTCATACTGGCCCCCCTGAGATTCGAACCCACAACCCTGGCGTTGCAAGCGCCATGCTCTACCAACTGAGCTACACGGGGGCCGACGGTGCAAGCCGTCACTGCAAATGAGTGACTAGAACACATGTGTAGCTAAATATACCCCATAGCTACATTTTAATTGAATCCAGTTAACCACATTAGTGGTGACATGCAATGACAGGCCCAGAGTCATACAGTGTGGCTGTGTATGAGAGCTGTCTGTTCTAAAGAAAAGGACTTAGTACTTCATATGCTGCCCCATGACAAGAGGGGACACACATCCTGATCTCTACAGTATAGCCATCCAGTCTACCCGGAGGGTAACATGTGACTGTAGCATCTCTTACTGAAAGCTGTGTTATTGACCAGAGGGGACTGGTTCAGCGTAACTACTCAATCAGTCAAAAGTTTTTTCAATCACAACAAAGTTCCATACATAGTTCAAACTCAGACTATGGGGTCATTTGATTTCCATTGCTGTTCAAAGCAATGGAATTATTGGATGCAAGCATGAGGTCCCATTGCAAACATACGAGTCCCATGTAGAACTAGCAAGAAATCCACCAGAACTGTCCCGAAAGCTGAAGTCCTTTCATCTATTCGCTCTTTTCACCTCTCCGTTCTTCCACTCCCTCGTTCCCTCGCTCCTCTCCCACCCAGATGTCATCCTCTCTAACATCAGGCCACAGCATTAACGGCGGATTAAGGCTTTCCACTACATCCACAAACATTAATAAATTAACCAGCCCATCGTTCAGTCCAAATGTTATACATTAAGTCAACGTGCCTGGTCAAATTAAAATCATGGGGATTCTGTCATTAGACTAAAGCCCAGATATACACCGAGTGAATGACCCTCTAATTACTGGATCTACATCAACAACACAGTCCACAGTCAGTCAGGCAGTCTCCGCTCACTAAATGCACTCTGGAAGCCTAACGACTGACAACATCATGCTAATATAGTAATCTTCTTATGAATCCTCATACAACTACTGTCAATGAGAGCCTAGAAGGTCATTATCCAGTCATCTACTACAGACCTCCTATCCAGCCATAATCCACATATGCTACACATTCTCCTCTGTGAGAAGTAGCCTAGATCCCCTGCCCTACAACTGTCTAACCATAGAAAGACCCTACTCGGTCTCACCTGGCAGTGTAGGACACACTGGAACTGTCCCCGTCCTGTACCCGCCGTGCTGTTCTCTCCCTCTGGTTGGAGTAGTGTGTGTAGTGAGCAGAGGAGGCTGCAGCAGTGATCTGAGTGCGTGTTTGTATGTGTGTGTGAGTGTGTGTGTGTGCCAGGTTACTGGTCCTCCCTGCCTCGTCAATGACACAGCACTGCAGGCCACACCCCAGCCAGCCAGCCAGCCAGCCAGCCAGCCTGCCAGCCTGCCAGCCCACACTGATCAGATTAGTGTCCTTACAACAGCCCCAGCCTGTCAGTCCCTCGCCTGCCATAACCAAACTCTCTTGCTACCTCTTCACCCTCTTGCACTCTCTCTTTTTTAATTCTGGCACTTCCGCTCCCTCTCTCCCCTCCCTTTATGTCCCTCTGATACCCTCTCCCTACCTCCTCGCTCTTTTCCCCCACGCTCTCCTTACCTCCCTCTCTTTTTTGCTCCCTCTCTCCCCTTCCATCTGCAGCCAGAGTTAAATTAGAGCTAAACCTGCAGCGCCCAGATGGCACCTCCCCCTCCCGCCCATGTGGCATCTGTTTTCACGGCAGCGATGTGGTCAACTACAGGACTGGAGTCACATCCCACCCACAGGGAACGAGTCTCTCTCACACACACACACACACAAACTAACACCCTTGAGAAGGTTCGAATCCTGCAAATGGAATTCAGCAGCACTGACGTAAAGCCTGCGCCAGAGAGGTGGATAGGATAGCTGACAGGATATAGGCTCTGACTAAAGATTCAACTATCAGAAGAAATCTCTTGCACTAAGGTGTACTGAGGCCACAGGGTTCTAGACCAAAATGACTAGCAGGTAGGCCATGGCTGGGTTATTACAGGGAGAAGACGTCTGCGTCTCAAATGGCACTCAATACCCTTTATAGTGCATTAGTTTGACCAGGGCCCTAGTCAAAAGTAGTGCACTATATAGGGAATAAGGTTCCAATAGGGATGCACATGATGTCATCTCTGGTGGCTGGCAGGCATGTGTAAACAGGAAGCTGTGCTGTCATGGTGTGTTCAGAACACAGATGAGAGCCACCATTGTGCTGTTCAGTCAGGCAGCTGAGAGATGCATCCTGGGACTGATGACACTGGTTTCAGCAGTTCTCCACTGCTTCCTGTCCCCATTCAAAGCCATTCCTGTCATCACCAATGGGATGGGCGAGCTAACCTTCCAAATGTGTTTACATTTGTAGGCCAGCGCAAGTGTGTGTCAAAGCCATGGAAGTAAAGGGGCTGAGGGTGCTGCAGCTCCCCCTAAAAATAAATAAAATAACGCCCCCCCCCCAACCGAAAACATCTTGCTTGTAGAGATGGGGAGATGTCTGTCCGTAGTAAAGAGATGCTCTGCTTTTTTGACACCACATTCCACAAAGCAAGTGCTGCAGGCTCTAGTTTTATTTATTGTGATTATTGTCCAGTCTATATGGTCAAGTGCTGCAAAGAAAGACCTAGTTAAACTGCAGCTGGCCTAGAACAGAGTGGCATGTCTTGCTCTTCATTGTAATCAGAGGGCTAATATAAATGCTATGCATGCCAGTCTGTCTTGGCTAAGAGTTGAGGAAAGACTGACTGCGTCACTTCTTGTTTTTATAAGAAACAATGTGTTGGAAATTCCAACATTTCTGCATAGTCAACTTACACACAGCACTGACACACACACTTACCACCAGGGGTCTTTTCAAAGTCCCCAGGTCCAGAACAAATTCAAGGAAAATGTACAGTATTACACAGAGCCATGAGTGCATGGTACTCCCTTCCATCTCATATAGCACAAGTGAACAGCAAACCTGGTTAAAAAATTACAAATAAAGCAACACCTCAGGGCACAACGCCTCTCCCCATGTGACCTACTTGTTGTGTGTATGTCCTGACATATATGTGTAACTGATAGATGCGCACACACACACACACACACACACACACTACATGTTAATGTTTTTAAAATGTATGTAAATTGTAAAGTAGTTTGTCTGTAATGTATTTTTCGTTATGTTGGGGATCCTAATAAATAAAATCCAAATCTTCCCGCGGCCACAGTGTGTGTTTATGAGTTCCCTCCCCCCACCTACCCTGACTTGTGCCTGCCTCTCATCATTGGTCCGGGCCCTCCCTTGCCCATGCTGTGGTCGTAGCTGGGGTCCACAAACTTGAAGACGTGCGAGGCTCCGAACTGCAGTGTGGCTCCGCTTCGCAGCACGGTGGTCTCGGTGACACGCTGGCCATCCACGTAGGTTTCAGCCTCCAGACTGTGTGGCGTCACCGTCACCAGGCCCTCAGTGTGCATCAGGTTACAGTGGTGGGGCAGAATACCTGGACCAAACAGCTGGAGGGAGTAGAGGGGGAGACACTCAGTTTTACTAAACCTTTAGCTCAGCTAACTTGCAGTCCAGTCTATGATAGTAATTTACGGCTATATCAATGTAGCATGTGACCATTCACACAAACACAGAAGAAAGGCAGGTCCTTACCTGGATGGAGCCGTCGTCTGTAATGTCTGAGCCCACCTCAGTGACACTGTGCTGCAGGCGGTAGAGCTTTGGTTTGTCCCTGGAGTCTGAGCCGTCTATAGTGGAGACCAGGAGATAGTCACTACTCACAATATGGAGGGACACACTCACTACACACAGGGTGGGACACACACTCACTACACACTGAGAGGGACACACACACACTCACTACACACTGAGAGGGACACACACACACACACACACACTCACTACACACAAAGGGAGGGACACACACACTACACACAGGGAGGGACACGCGCACACACACACACTACACACAGGGAGGGACACGCGCACACACACACACTACACACAGGGAGGGACACACTCCCTACACACACGGACACACTCACTACACACACACACAGGGAGGGACACACTCCCTACACACACGGACACACTCACTACACCATTACAGCACAGAGGGAGATTTTGACCAACACATGACAGAGTCGTACACTTCACACACAAAATACATATAATAGAGGGGAGATAGACATACACAACCAGGTTGTCATAACTACAAGTAGACCAGATCATCTGTTCATTTTGATTAGTAGAAACATATTTTAGTAAAAGCAAAGCAGCAAATTAGTTAACAAGTCTGGGAAAAACATGTCTCTTCTGAAAATCCTATGCTTTTTGCGAAAATCCTCATTTGCAAAAAGCACTTGCTATTGCTAAGCTCAATAATGTCTGGCAGGGGCCCTAAACGTGGCTTAGTGCAGTGGAGTTGACTTAAGGTCCCGTCCTAGATAGTGAGGCCCTGCTCTGATTGGCTGAGCCACAGAACAAAAAGGCATTCAGGCCAGTAGCATTTAGTTGCCCACAGACAATGATCCAAGGTTTAATTTCACGGAATTGTTATGGTCAGCATTTGGGGTGGAGAAGCTGATCCTAGATCTGTACCAAAGCGCAACTTCTGTGGGTAGGAGTTGACCCTAACACCTAACCACTGATACAGGGTCAGATCTTTTGCCATCACTGTAATGGTCAAAACTAGAATAATCAATCATCTTCAGGGTAATCTGATCCTAGATCTGTACGTAAGGGCAAGTTCTACCACAAGTCAACTTATATCCAGAGAAACACAGCAGTAGATGGGTCTGGTGGTGGAGTGGAGAGGAGTGGAGGAGAGGCGTGGGTGGTAGGTAGGTAGGTTTACCTTCGTGGTGCCGAAAGGCGTAGTAACCATAGTGATTCCCCCTCCCTAGGTGAGCAGACATGCAGAGGAGGCAGCAGCAGTAAGACACAGCAGTAAGACACAGCAGTAAGACACAGCAGTAAGACACAGCAGTAAGACACAGCAGTAAGACACAGCAGTAGGTAGTAGGGACAGACAGAACACACCACAGGAAGCCAGGAGAGAGAAGACAGCAGGGCGTGTAAATGTTGCACCAAGGAGAAAATGCAGCACCCTTCTTCGCCTCACACACACAGTAATAATACCTAATAAACACACTCCAGAATCCACACTAACACACAGCTTTCACCTAAACCCTCCACACGCCTTGAATCCCTTTCCTGCAGAAAGAGCAGAGAACCCATGCCTGGGAGACACGCTCTTTTGTGTCAATGTATGCAAACCTTCAAATGTTTTAAGAAATAATGAAATCCCTGAGGAGGTTAAAAATGGTTCTGAGAGACAGGGTTAGTGCACTGCAAGGTCGTAAGGTTGGAGAGAAGAGGAGAGGAGAGGAGAGGAGAGGAGAGAGGAGAGAACGACAGGGGGTCAGTGGAACAAGCAGCTGTTAGGGTCAGCCCATCAGTGAGGACTGACCATCGTACTGGACACAACACCTAGGCCAGGGATGGGCAACTGGTGGCCCACGCCTTTTGTTGGGGGAGAGGGACTCAGTCGGGGTCTCAACACTGGTGCAATTTCGAAATTTGGTTGTGCATCAGCAGTCAGTCAATTAGCCCATGTCAGCTATTTTTTGGGGGGGATTGGTAAGTTAGTCTATCGACCAGCTATCTAAACTTGTAGTAAGCATGGTTAAATTACCGACCAGGATGGGGCCCACTGATCATTAGTTATATTAAAAACAGCAAAGATTTGCCTCCACCCTATGGCAAAATGTGTAGAATTGTAGGAAATTACCTTAAAATGTTATCTTCGCTGTTACGCGGGGGGGGGCTAAAATGTTTTGCCTGCAAGGTGGGGGGATGGATGTGGGTACCCAGACCCGAGACACTGCGGCCCCTAATGATGAGATCCATTTATCGGTGAGTCTCTGTTGTGCGGCACACAAGGTGATGAAGTTCCACTTCTATGCAAAAAGCTCTGGATAAGGTAAGCTCTGGATAAGGTATCTGTACAGCTGCCATTTTCTTCCTGTGCTTCATACTAGTGTTTTTTCCTCTACTCTGTTCTTCTCCCCTCTGCTCCGTGTATATATGCTGCTCTTCCTTTAGAAAAGCATGCATCACAACTTTGTTCATTTGCACAATTTGTCTCGTTCACTTTTGCTTGTAAATGTCCACACACCGAAAATGATTCGGTAGCTACGCTTGTATAACTTTATGAGCTGGATTTGTCCCTCTTGCAATTATTTTATGTTCGTTTGCGCTCGTTAGCATTTAGCTAACAGCTTCTATGTGATTTTGTTGTTAGTTGGTGCTAATTTTGTTAGCATTCTGGTAATAGAGGCACAAACAGGCTTTTCTTGCGCTTTTAGCGCCCCTTGTGTGCCATGCCAATAATACAGTAAATCCCGGGATGAGAGACATGAAAATCTGGATATCGACCAAGCCTAGGTACAGTCGACTGGGCAGGAGATGCTTCTAGGGCCCACTCACTCACCTTGTTAGAAGAGACTAGAGAGTTCTCAGGGCATCAGGAGGTTTGGTCCATATTGCCTCCACTGGTGTGTGAATGTCAGTGCACAATCACACAGCGATTATACTGTTCTGTTAGCTATGTGAGTAGAATTAACTCTGACTTACATACTGCAGTTCAGTACAGGCCAGCATTTGCGTCGGCTGGGAATGTGTGTGTATGTTCTTGTTCAAGAGTGTGTGTGTCTGTATATACATGTGATCTGCAGTGCGTGTGGGTCTGTGTGTGACGCACCTGGGCTGAGCTCCACCAGGTAAGGCAGTTTCTCTGGGGGTATAGACCCATGCAGGGGCCCATCCATGCCCTTCCCTCTGGGGCCCTTGTCCTTCTTAGACACGTAGTCTGGAGGTCTCTTCTTCAGCTGGAACACTAGGGCCCCTGAAACACATGGAGCTGCGTTATGAACCAGAGCTAACAGGAGAGGGCATTATAGACAGGGGATTTCAGATAAAAACAATACAATGCTTACTAACAATGGACTGACTATACTGAACATGCTCTGGTGGACATTCCTGCAGTCAGAATGCCAATTGCACGCTCCCTCAAAACATGAGACATCTGTAGGATTGTGTTGTGTGACAAAACTGCACATTTTAGAGTGGCCTTTTATTGTCCCCAGCACAAGGTGCAACTGTGTAATAATCATGGCGTTTAATCAGCTTCTTGATATGTCACACCTGTTAGGTGGATGGATTATCTTGGCAAAGGCAAAATGCTCACTAACAGGGATGTAAAACAAATTTGTGCACAAAACCGGAAAGAAAATTTCTGGGATCTTTTATTTCAGCTCATGAAACATGGGACCAACACTTTACATGATGCGTTTGTATTTTTGCTCAGTGTAGATTCACTGTTAGTTAAAACTAGCTTTTGGCTGTGTGTAAATCATGCATTGCTATCAATGGAAGAGGTGCAGGAAAACTTGAGTTACAAGCGGGATCTGAAGGTATGATTGGGGCCCATAGTGCTATGGTGTCCTACCTCTGTCGTTGGGCCAGTCTCTGAAGATCTGAAGAGGACACTCCGTATCGTCCAGGATGATCTCCTTCCCAGACTTGTCATCTGTGTGCTGCAGAACCACAAAACACAACCACACCCATGAAACAATCACATATTCCACAGCACATTCCAAGTCAACATCAGACAAAACAATAATTCATAGAATACCTCATAATGCTCAATTATAATGTATATAGGGGTCATATAGGAGGTGTTCCAAACCTGCCTTTATAACACGATTATTGCATATTAGCATGTTAGTCAATCGCTGGCTGCTCTCCCTTTCCCAAAGAATGTCTCCCTCATGCACCAGACATAACCTCTCTCTCTATTTCTGTCCATGCCCTCTATCCCTCCTACTCTCCACTCACTCTGGCTGTAGTAATGACCTATCCAACCTGTCAAACACAAGACGCTGGCGAGGCAAATGCACTTTCCATGTCGGATCGCAGCATTTTTATGTTTCATTTTTTAATGACTCAGATGTAGAAATGAGAGGCGGATGGAGGAATGGAGGGAAGGGGGGGGGGGGGACTGAAGGCTTTTAATGTGATTGGCTGTGACTGAGGCTGTCAGGCAGCAGGGATGTGAGGCGGCAAAGGTCTTCGCTGTAGCGTGGAGATGTTTGTTACACGATGACAGGAGATATTAGGCCAGCCATGCTGCTGCTGCTCTGCTATCCCTACCCGGCAACCCCACACACACCACGTGCTGACACACACACAAACATGCACGCGCACACACAGCATCACATCTGCTGGCCTGGCACTTTGGAGAAATGCAATTCAATTACTATCAAACAGAGGCCTTGCCAACAGACCCCTTCCTGCTTTAATCTGTCAGACAACTGGGAGGAGTGTGGCCAGCCAGATGGGAGATGCGGAGAAAGGAGGGCGAGAGAGATGGATGAAGGAAAGGAGAGAGGGAGTAAAAGAGAGCGGGAGTAAGTGAGAGAGACACACACACACACACACACACAGAGAGAGTGTGCAGCCGGCTGATGAAATACTTTATGTAGGGTTTAACTAGGACCAAGGCCAGTTACCACGGAAACATTAAATCAGCTTAAAATGTGGCCCGGCCACACCCACCCTGTCCTCTAGTTCACCCCGGAGACAAATGGAGGGGAAATACAGCAAACATTTATTCATTACTCACACCTCCATTTTCTAAATAGGACAACATGTGTGTGTGTGTTACACAAGGATGACCTAAGCTGCCCTTGTGTGGCATATGTACAGTACCTTCAGGAAGTATTCATACCCCTAGGCTTATTCCACATTTTGTTGTGTTACAGCCTGAATTCAAAATTGATTAAATTGATTTATTTTCTCACCCATCTACAAACAATACCCCATAATGACAAAGTGAAAACATATTTTTAGATATGTTTGCAAATATTGAAAATGAAATACAGAAAAATATAATTTACATAACCCCACTGCAGTTAACCCCCCGACCCCACTAGGGGTCACGAACCCGACTTTGAATACCACTGGTGTACAGTAATATCTAGAACAGGAGTACTCAACTCTTACTCTACGAGGTCCGGAGCCTGCTAGTTTTCTGTTCTACCTAATAATTAATTGCACACACCTGATGTCCCAGGTCTAAATCCGTCCCTGATTAGAGGGGGAAAATGAAAGAATGCAGTGGAACTGGCTTCGAGGTCCAGAGTTGAGTTTGAGGGATCTAGAAGCTTGGTACGTGAGGCTAATATGGAGGAGTGCTCACCAACCCTGGTCCTGGAGAGCTACAGGGTGTGCAAGGATTTTGTCCCAACAGTAACACCCATGATTTAACTAATAAACTGCTCATCTAGGGTGTGACGAGCTGAATCAGGTGGGTTGGTGCTGGGTTGGAATAAAAGCCCGAACACCCTGTAACTCTCCAGGACCAAGGTTGGCTTCGAATGGGGTAGAGTAACATCTAGTTGTGTTTGAATGGAGTGGTGTGTTGACTCTTACCCTGGCGATGCAGTACTCCCGGGGGATCTCCTTCTCCAAGCCGTACTTCTCCAGAGCCTCCACCACAGCAAAGTCTGCCATGTCTGTCGTGGACAGCAGGATGGTCTTATAGGGGATGTTGGGTTTCAGACTGTCTGCATAGATCCTCAACGTCCCCCCTAAGAGACAGAAACAGGAGTTGGAGTTAGACAAACAGCAGGCCTGCAGACACATGTGAGCATATTCTTTGGATTAGGATAATCTGATTGAGATATTTATCCTCTGGACTGGGACTAGATAGAGAGGAAATATGAGGAGGAACTTGGATAAAGGTCTCTATCCGTGCCAGAGAGAGGGGAATTTAGCTGGGAGTGAACAGGCATAGGCTGACCAGACCAGAGGGCTTATGGTCCAGGCCTCCAGATTACATAACCTCTGAGGTCTGGACATCACTCAAAAGGAGAAGGTCCGGGCAAAGAAGTGTCTGGAGGTAGACAGTTGCCCCTAACCACAGATCTAGGATTAGATTACCCTAGATTCAAAACAATGTTTTTAGTTCTTCTAAACACTACGAGATGAACGCCTTTAAAAAAAAGTTATGCCACCTTAACCACTTGACCAAAAAAGCTTTGGGATGCAGAGGTCAGAGGACCATTTATTTATTTTTTATACGTCACTAACTATGGAAGATGAAAAAACCCTCCTGCTTCCATTTTTGTGTTGCAGCTTGCTGTTCCTCCCATGGTTGGCAGAGGGCTGTAAGCCACAGGGAACAGGATGTGAGGCCTGGCAGTGCCAGACAGTGTGTGGTGTTCACGGAGGACATTGGCTAAAGCGGTTTAGCCCTCTGCTCTGACTGGTCCAGGCCTTATGTACTTACAGTATGGTGACAGGGTGTTCTCTACTGGCCATAGACAAGAACCAGAGACAATGGCCTTCGCTCTGACACAGACACACAAACACACACGCTCGGCTCTCACACTCGTGTCCTCACACTGCTATAGTCCATTCAAATAAAAGTTTAATAACATATTTAAATTTTTAATTGACAGACTGTCCCAGGGTGAGTGTACCCGAGTCTGGCCTGCCATCGCTGCTGCGGAACTCCTGCATCCTCTTCTCCAGTTTCTGCTGCCTCCTCCTCTTCATCACCACCTCAGGGTTGGAGATGGTCCTGGTGAAGCTGTTCTCCGGCATGTCTTTGTACACCTCCGCTGCCAGTCTGGAGTTCTCACTGGAGGAGCAGGAGAAATACATTCAGAAGTGCTCCATTGCAAACCTACTAACAGAAATATATTTGCTTTACCATGCATGTTAATACTTAATACACTAGCAGGTGGATGAGGGGATGTTCTTCATCTCAGCAAAATTGTCAATAATAACAACAATTTTCAACAAGCAAGACTAAGTAAGGAAACACTATATAAAGCTACAAGTGACATTGCCCTCCTTACCCATCTTCTCTGCTCAGTGCTTGCTCATCTCCGTCAGAAATGTGAGCCTCCTTCTCTCGCTTCTTCTCCTTCTTCTTCTCTTTCTTGGACAGTGTCCGTTTGAAGTTCTGTATCACTCCCTCCTTCTCCCTCTCCGGCCCGTTGCTCTGCACCTTCTGTGGTGAGGAAAAGGGAGAGAGAAAGCGAGAGAGAGAGAGAGATAGAGAGGAAAGAGAGAAGAGAGAGAGAGAGAAGAGAGAGAGAGAGATAGAGACGACGAGAGAGAGAGAGATAGAAAGATACTCTAGCTACGCTCTCATCATATCGCTGATATAGCACTATGCGCGCTAGAATATCTATTCTCGATTCGGCCCCATAACACGAACGACCCAACTCCATCAACCACACAAAGACAGAAACCAACGAAATAGAGAGAGAGCGAGAAGGTTACAATGGGAAGTGAGAGGGTGTGAAGTTTGTTACTAAGGCAGGTCACTTACTCTAAGTGTTTCATTTAGGTGATCTGTGGTATTAGGAACCCCAGAGGGCTGGCTGGAAGGTTGGCTGAGGGCCAAGTAGGACTCAGTGACCCTGGGCCTCCACAGAGAGGGAAGTACTGGGGCCTACCTAACACCTAGAGCCTGAGGCCTGGGCACCACTCTGCCAGCTAGTCCATTTAAACTATCAGCTGACAGACAGAAAACAACATGGCCAGAGTTCAATCAAACTGGCAGTCAAACACATACTTAAGACTGGAGTTTATAATGCTGCATATGTAAACAGAATAATAACCAGCTGACAAAGGATTGAATTGCTTTGGCGACAGTAGTTTCGTTTGACCATTTCACAAAAAGCAGGCTGATAGTCAAAGCCTAATGTGAACTGACAGAGGCATAGACTTGCCATAGAAAGCAGAGCGAGTGGGCCTTTTCAGAGGGGATCAGTTGGAGTCTAAATCCCCATAAAGCATTAGATGTGTTAAAGCCATCCAGTGTTCCAGGCCTGCCCTGTCAAATGGCTGAGCAGGGGACTCTTCTGATAGGACTACCTCTCTTTCCACTTCCCTGAAGCACTCCAAATGTTCTGATCTAGTATTGCTAAAACACACCAGCCTAACAGCACTTTAGGGAGTCCTCTAGTAGTGGATACTTTTAGGAGAGGAGAGGGTTAAGTGTGGTTTAAGATCTGGTCCTCCTGCTACAGTGAGGGAAAAAAGTATTTGATCCCCTGCTGATTTGTACGTTTGCCCACTGATAAAGAAATGATCAGTCTATAATTTAAATGGTAGGTTTATTTGAACAGTGAGAGACAGAATAACAACAAAAAAATCCAGAAAAACGTGTGTCAAAAATGTTATAAATTTATTTGCATTTTAATGAGGGAAATAAGTATTTGACCCCCTCTCAATCAGAAAGATTTCTGGCTCCCAGGTGTCTTTTATACAGGTAACGGGCTGAGATTAGGAGCACACTCTTAAAGGGAGTGCTCCTAATCTCAGCTTGTTACCTGTGTAAAAGACACCTGTCCACAGAAGCAATCAATCAATCAGATTCCAAACTCTCCACCATGGCCAAGACCAAAGAGCTCTCCAATGATGTCAGGGACAAGATTGTAAACCTACACAAGGCTGGAATGGGCTACAAGACCATCGCCAAGCAGCTTGGTGAGAAGGTGACAACAGTTGGTGCGATTAGACGCAAATGGAAGAAACACAAAATAACTGTCAATCTCCCTCAGCCTGGGGCTCCATGCAAGATCTCACCTCGTGGAGTTGCAATGATTATGAGAACGGTGAGGAATCAGCCCAGAACTACATGGGATGATCTTGTCAATGATCTCAAGGCAGCTGGGACCATAGTCACCAAGAAAACAATTGGTAACACACTACGCCGTGAAGGACTGAAATCCTGCAGCGCCCGCAAGGTCCCCCTGCTCAAGAAAGCACATATTCAGGCCCGTCTGAAGTTTGCCAATGAACATCTGAATGATTCAGAGGAGAACTGGGTGAAAGTGTTGTGGTCAGATGAGACCAAAATCGAGCTCTTTGGCATCAACTCAACTCGCCGTCTTTGGAGGAGGAATGCTGCCTATGACTCCAAGAACACCATCCCCACCGTCAAACATGGAGGTGGAAACATTATGCTTTAGGGGTGTTTTTCTGCTAAGGGGACAGGACAACTTCACCGCATCAAAGGGACGATGGACTGGGCCATGTACCGTCAAATCTTGGGTGAGAACCTCCTTCCCTCAGCCAGGGCATTGAAAATGGGTCGTGGATGGGTATTCCAGCATGACAATGACCCAAAACACACGGCCAAGGCAACAAAGGAGTGGCTCAAGAAGCAGCACATTAAGGTCCTGGAGTGGCCTAGCCAGTCTCCAGACCTTAATCCCATAGAAAATCTGTGGAGGGAGCTGAAGGTTTGAGTTGCCAAACGTCAGCCTCGAAACCTTAATGACTTGGATAAGATCTGCAAAGAGGAGTGGGACAAAATCCCTCCTGAGATGTGTGCAAACCTGGTGGCCAACTACAAGAAACGTCTGAGCTCTGTGATTGCCAACAAGGGTTTTGCCACCTTTTTTCCCTCACTGTATGACTGGAGAGGTGAGTTACAGACCATTTCACTCTAGGTAAGAGAATCGAGCTTGTGAGCGTGTGTGTGACTGTGAGCGTGTGAATGTATGTACACAAACATGTGTATATTTTAGAGCTCTTTACTGCTCTCCTGGGCAAGGTTGGTTAAACTCTCACTGGTCAATGTAGCCACCTGTCCCAGAAAATTAAACGCATAACTCACTCACACATGCAAACACACCCACACACTGCTGCCTTTTATCTAGAGCCAGGGGGGATAAGCATTTATTTGGCTGAGGAAATGGAAGGAGGCTTGGGGAGCTGAGGTACTTGAAGTCAAGTGCTCCACTATAAAAAAAACACATAGTTGCATCTCTCTGGGGTGCTAAAGAGCACTAAAGAAGTCTCGGAGCGGGAGGCACTTCATTGTATCTGAGCCAAGATGGACATCAACACATTGAACAGTCAGTCCCTATGAGCCTCTAATGAAATATAGACTAACAAGATCATAGCAGTGAACTTGATGGTTGGGTATTTAGTTACAGTGCTACAGAGCCAGAGTAATATGATAGTGTTATCATGCCAGAGGTCCTGCTGTGAAGCAGTTTGAGTAGTTTTACTGATGGCCACATCTAAGGCTAGCCTGGGTCCACTATTCTTTTACAATGGTGTTATGCACATTCACAGGAATTCAAAAATCTTGGCATATAGGCCAGTACTTTTCTTAGCTGAAGCAGAAACAGACTGGAAGCCAGGCTAGCCTAAGGCTGATCTGTGCCTTGTTGTTGTTGTTGTTGTCGACACTCACCTTGGGGATGATGTCGTTCTCGTTCTTAAGGACGAAGCGTCCCTCGCGGTCATCTTTGTTCCAGTTGAGCTGTACCACCAGGGGCTTCTCATCCAGGTCCAGATTCCGTTCTTCTGCCAGAGAGGGGGAGGCCTCCACTTAACACACTGTTAACCCACACCAGTTTACCCATACCCCTATACAGCCAGCTAGCTAGCTCTGGGCTATATACACTCATTTAACATAGATAAACATGTATTGGGATAAGCTTAGGATAAAGCATTAACGATTTTCATAGACATAATGTGGCAGGACTGCTGAGTTTTATAATATTCATAAATATTACTATATAAGAAGCTGGTCTAAGTTAGCTTTCATGACTGCTGCTAGTGGAAAAGCACACGACTGTGCTATGCGAGCACACACGTACATGCTCTGCCAATCTCTCTCTCTGTATGAAGAGCGTTCAAAGCCTGAACTGCGGGCTGTTGATCTCAAGGTCACATTAAGCACCATGGGAGTTGGATTCCGCTCTCCTGTCTTCACTCTACTGCAAGCTAACAGTGTTTGTCTAGTAGCCCCAACAGAGTAGCTAACTCAAAGCAGATTGTCAAACCACATACCCAAACAAACCTGATGTTGGATATTAGCAGTCTAACGCTAAGTGTGACACACAACAATGCCTCAATACCCTTGGTCTATACCCACCCCCACCCCACACACACACACACACACACACACACACTCACCCCCGCTGACGTGGACCTCGTAGAGAGAGTATTTGGGCGAGGAGAGCATCCTCATGTCAGGCCGGAACTTCTCGGCCAGCGTCTCGATGACATCCTGAGTGGTGGCCGTGGAGGATACGCGGATACACTTGGTGGCAAAGTTCCCTGCTACGCGGTCCTGGAAGTAGAAACGCATCACGCCGTGGAACTCCAAGTCCTGGAGAGAGGACAGAGAGCGAGGTGAGGGTCTTTCCTTCAGAACTGATGAACACCTTTAAGGGTCAATTATTTTTCCCTTTCCTTCCCTCAGACACTACATGCAGGATAGCTATACCTGTCACATCTGTTTTACCAGAACACACCTCAACAATAGTATATTACAGAGCCCATTACGGACCCACCCAGACACTCCTCTTGACCCTGATCACGTCTCAGACACTGAGACTGCCCATTGTCTCCCACAGGTAAGTATGTCAAGTCACAACTATCAGCATCTATAGGTACCTGTCATTTCTAGCTAAACCAGCCTTCTGTGGAAAGTTTAGAGATATAGGCTGGTGGTAACTCCAGTGTGTTAATTATAAAAAAGGGGCTTAGGAGGGAGTCAGGGTCAGGAGGACACACTGTGTGTGTGTATGTTTGTGTGTGTAACAGCCAGCTCAGCCTCCCTGCTCCTCTTCCCAGGCCCTGCAGGCAGATAGCAAAGCAGACAATCCACTCCAGCGCTCCTCTCAGAGTCTGTTCAGCTAGAGACAGAAAGCCATGCTTGACCACACAGGACCTTGTTGTGACTACTGCACACTACACAGGTGACGCCAGGGGCAACACAACCACAGTTACACCTAAACAATAAAACCCTGGGCAGTCCAGTATCTGGTCCGGTATGATCTGGTTTTACATGTCCGCTGTCTCCATTCCCTCAGCGTGACATCAGCCTAACCCCAGGGACTCATGGGCCACGATCACTCATTCTCGGCCAATGACAGCGGGAGGAATGAATAAAGTCACGCCAACCAG